CTGCCCAGCGAAGCGTATTAACCTAACTGTCAACCGTATTTGTGTGTTAACTGCCTTTCTTCTCGGCCTACCTTTCCCCCCCACATTGGAAAAGTCATTTATTATTCATGGCGCTGCATTGCGAGGTGGTTGCATTTGCATGCATGCCTAATTACCGCAGCGAGACACCATAAGTTTTCCATTTTCTTTTTCGTCTTCGGGGAACGAAATTACCTGCTAATGGCGGCCCCGCATGTACGAAGAAAAAAGCAATAGGAAATGTCATTAAAAGTTGAGCAAAATGCATGACAGCTGAAGTTTAGACACGAATGTCTCGTTGGAAGAGTGTTGTAAAGCGTTTGCAGTGTTGTAAAGTGTTGAAAGTTCCATTTCAGCTAAGCATAAAGGCTTACATAATGCATTATTAGAGATAAAATAGGAAAATATTTAATATTGAAACAGTATTGTGAAGTGGTTCCAATAAGCACAGTTTCAGTGTTGTAAAGCACCTAAATTTCCACACAAATATTCTAGAATTCAGCGAGTCATAGCTGCAATATATATTCAAGGAAGGAAATCCCACTCTTTGCACATTCAATTTATCATCAATATTTTCACGTCACCTGTTGACGCTCTCTCTCTCTCTGTCTGTTGGCTCCTATGAACACATATCCAGTACACATAATGTGCCCTTTTAAAACTTGCCATCCAATTACAGCTTGTGTATGTGATAACATTACAGAAGGTTGCCGAATGACAGTGTCAGTGGCAGGCCCCTGTAACCCATCGCAATTTTGGGTTGCACTCTGCCGTTGACAGCTTTTTCGCACAGGAAATCTATGCAAAAGCACAGAGGGAATCCCCTGCTTGGATATTACACACGTACCCATAATGGCACATCCAAATCGGCAGATGTGCCGAGCCCAATGCAGGCGGGCCTCTTTTTTTTTAGAACTGTTCCAGGTTCAGGTTTAGCCCCAATTTCCAAGAATCCATCGCATAATCCGGCGGGCCAATGTCAGTTGGAGAAAATTATGAAATGGTTGGTTTAGCACTGCGGGGCGTTTCACTTCAAAGCAATGTTCAACAGCAAAATGCATTACATAAAGGCGTGTGCTCTGTGAGTACTCTTTGGGGGGCACTGGCACTGTCGTGAGTTGTGTCTGAGTTATGACATCTTCACCACCCGCTGAGGGCTGAGAGCTTCGCAGCTCATCATCCTGGCGGGCATTGGCATCTCGGCATCTCGGCATCTCGGCATCAGGTGCATCTGGCAAACAGCTGAAGCCTCGTTTATCTCCCGTACGAACTTTCTTCAGATCTGTTTTTGTTTTCCCCAGTAATGGCTGTTGTAATGCAGGGCATGGGGGTTGGATTGACATTCAAATTGGATGGATTATGGTGGAGTGATCAAAACGTATCAATGGAGCTGCAGTTGACTGCTGCAGAAAATTCACATTCATGCATATTCCGTTTCTGTTGTGCTTATTGAGCAGGGGGTTTCACATTTAAATAGACAACGGGAACGGTTGGAGACCTAACGAAATGCATCGGTGGGGAAGTCGTGCAGCTGACTGCTGAAAAAGGTCTGGAACAGAAGAAAAAAGCACTTTTCCCTCTCTCAACTGCTGCCAACACATAGTCATGCTTGGCTCGACACACACAAGCGAATGCTGAAAAAGAGAATACTCGTGAATTATCTACGATTTTGTTTATGTTTTTCGCTAAGTTAATAATTGTAAAAAGGGCAATCATTAGAAAGAACTAATTCTCAGTTCTCTGTTCAAGATTGCATTCTCTGACATTTCATTCAAAGAATCAAGCAACAAATAAGCACCAAGAGACGCAGCTCAAATTCATAATCAAATTCGTCATTTGTGGGAATTAATTGCCATTAAAAACAAATAACAGCAACAGTAAGAATGTCAAAAATAGACAAATAGACTCAAATGTATGTGATCGTATTCGTGGATGTATCAACACAACCACTTGCTGCCATGCTGCCGAACTGCACTCAAATGAATCGATGCGAAAACAAACAAAATCAAATATGAATCACGGAATTGAATGGACATTTGCCTCTAAATAGTGCACAAGGTCAATTAGTTGAAATACTCGTGGCAGCAGCAACAAAATATATACAAACAAACACACTCACTCGCATATAAATTAAACAGTGGATTGTATTTTTGTGATAACATTTCAATGATGTTTTGCTGTGCGTTAGTTTTGAGATTTGATTTGTTTGGATGTGGAGGGAATGGATGTTTCAAGAGCAATCAAGCGCGAGAACTTGTTTGTCTTAATACACTCCACATCAGTGGATTACTTTGTCCATGAATATAGTTTTTATGGTAAAGAAGATCAATGCAATGCAGTTGGAACAATCTTATGGCTTCAAGGAACAAAAGGCTACAATTTTCTATGTATTAATATAACAATTGCCTCAGCTCAAAAGTTCTCTGTAACCCTTAACATTTGGCGAATTCTGCCGTTGACAGTTCTTGCATTTGCAACTTTTGGATGTGGCAAGAGAGTTTCCTACTCCTTTGAATGAGATTTATTCCCGCACTTTGGCTGTGGAATGGAATGTTCTAGAAGCTTTTAGCCAGGAAGCGAAGCCAGAGATTTAAATGAGCTCAACGCACGATAAATAATAGATGGCAATAGCCATATAATTTTATGTCATAATTTGTAGGTTCAAGTTTCGTTTTGCTAGCCAACCAGAGATCAATATCTGAGTAATCCATTACTTGGTTTACGCTGGAGTAGGCTTCTTCCAATAACAAATCTACTTTCTGCTAAACACTTTCTCTGCCTTCGATAGGTTTCTCCCTTAAACATTTCAATTGCATTTTTGCTCTCATTTAATGCGCAATTTACTACCCAAAATGCGTTTGACGAAACCCTCCCCAGGCCGATGCCCGATGCCCGATGCCCGATGCCGGATTTCCGATGCTCATTCCTAAAATCCTTAAGAAAAAAAAGTTGTTTTCATTTCATTGTGTGCGTGTCGTTGTTCCAGGAACACAGCTTTATACAGAAGCTCCTCATAAGAATGAGAGTGTGAATGTGTTTGTGTTTGTGTTTGTGTTTGTGAAAAGGATTTACGCGTTGTTTTTCTTGTACATTTCGCACATCGCATCGTCGATGTCTTTGGGATGTTGTTGTTCTGGTGGCAGGGACAGGGACAGGGGCCGGGGCCGGGGCAGCGACAGTGGTGAGGCACAGCAGATAGGTTACCAGATACCTGAGCTATGATTTCGCCTTGAAACTTCTTCATTCAGGTGCGTTGTATGTGTATCTGTGTATGTATCTGTGTATGCAGAATGAGTGCAAACGAGATGGTTATACGCAATTTTTGATCTATTTTTCGGCTTTGGCTTCGGCTTTGGACTTTTTTCCTCCTTTATATTCCAAAAGGCTCTTTGTTGTTGCTGCTCTCTGTTGCTCTCTGTTGGGCATTTTGTGTAATTGAAAAAGCATTTCAAATGCAGCTGCGTACATTTCCATTGCGTATACAACAAAAACAACAATGGGAACACACAAGAAATAGAAACGAGCGGAAGAAATGCTCGTAAAAGTACAGTTGTGCACAAGTGAAACTATTAAAGGAAGCTTCGGCCAAGTGCAAAAGTAGTTGGGGAAGTTTTTTACCATTGTAAATGGGGAGATGGAAGAGTAGGGTTGAAACGGTGGGGAGACCGCTGGAAAGGCAAGTAATTAAGGGACATAAGGGTGCTGCTTGATGAGGGGTTTGTAGATCTTAGATCTATGTCATTTGCAGGTTTATTTCAGCTGCTTTTTGACACTTTATTTGCTGTTCTTTTAGCTCTTTTCGAGCTACTTGGCTATGGCTAAAGTTATCTCGTCAATTTACATAATCAAAGAACAAAGAAAGTGTCTGCAAATTGAGGAAAATCAGGTAACATATGCCCGAACCTGAAACTCTTTCCTCATTGCTTCGATCAATTTCTTCCCTTTACCACAAAAACCATACCAAAAGCCATCAAGGGCAGCAGAGCAGCCTTCGCAGCAGCCACTCCCTGCTGCTCCAGAGAATTCCAGTTGCTGGAGCGGAGGAGTCTCAAAAACTGCAAACTTCCCAGGAATTTCTTAATAGCTTTTTACCGATATTTATATATGTATTTTTTTTCTCTGCTTTTGGCCATTCACTGTGTGGTGTTTGCTGTTGCCTCGGGGCTTGAAACGAAACCGTTGATTTCTGCCCCAAAAAAGGGGCACAACAAATGAGTCAGGGCGGGAGGGGAGCGAAGAAGAAATTTGTGGCTTCCACAAAAGTTTGGCGGAGCCGCATTTTTCTAACGATTAAACAAATTCGGAGAAAACAAACGCATCCCATGCAACGATGCGATGCGGCAGAGAGAACAGAACGGAAAGGAAAGGAAAGGAACGGAACGTCACCTGCAGTTTCCAGGAATTGGTGGCATGGCAGGAATCGAGCACGCAACGCGAGGAGGCAGCAGAAACCGTAGACGAGAGTCAAAGGAGGGGAGCCGGAGCCTACCCGGGAGTCACTTCCAGAATCAGCAAATCAGAAAGTTCTCTTTCTGCGTTGCATCAAAAATTGACTCTGAGGCTGAGAGGCTGCTGCGAGGCTGTGGCTGAGGCTGAGGCTGAGGCTGAACCTGCGGACGGCGGCATATTTGAGTGGTCCAAAATTCCCAGAATTGAATCGTATATCTTTATTTTTTTTGGGTTGGTATCGCTTGTGCCTTTCTAAATGCTCGATTAATTTCTAATAAATTGGCTGGGCAGAGGAAATGCTGCAGGCCACAGAGATAGAGTTACCAACACAAACGCGATGCATTTTGAAATTTGAGTTTGAGTTTGAACACTATTCCAGGAACTACTGGGACTTTTGAGCATTAACTTTTGCAACATTGCAACATCGATTGATTCTTGTCTGAAAATATCTGAATAGCAGGCGCTGCGTTCGAAGTTTGTTGTGTTCTAAGCAAAAACTAATCAGAATCCATTTGTTTCCATTCTCGTTGCAGCATTTGTCGTGTTCGGACCTGTGATCTGTGTTATTCGTAATTTGTTGAATTTATATATCGGTTTTCCCCATCATCAATAATTATCACCAACGATTGCCAGCGGAACGGAAATAACACACAAAACATTTAAGAAAACAATTGCAAAATTCCCTTTGGCTAAGGATTTGCGGCGGTCACACGAGTGCTTTCATGCACGACGGCTGGCAGCCACAAAATTCCACGAAATTCCATTTTGGCAACACTAAAACAAGTAAAACAAACCAACAACAATTAACAATCATTTACATCTGTCGCTCTGGCGCCTCTACAACTCCAATCTTTATCCTGAAACTGAAACTGAAACTGAAACTGAGCGAAAACAACAAGGATACGCCGGATAGGAATACGGCCCAGAACGACATCGAAACTTAACGGAACAACGGAGGTACAACTGGCGTCAACATGGATCCACAGCAGCAGTTCTGCCTCAAGTGGAACAGTTATTCCTCCAATTTGGCAATAACATTCTCAAATCTATTCAAATCGGATCTACTCGCCGATGTCACACTATCCTGCGATGGTAAGTTTTGCACACAAGAAAATATTGGTAAGATTGTATAATATTCTTTTGGGAGTAGGATTTAAGTGGCTTTGCTGTAGCTGAAACGCATATTTTCACAATTTTGTTTGTAGAAATGATTAGAAATTAATTCAATTAATTCTTTAAAATTTTGACAGCAAACGCTTAACGATTTGATGACATTTTTTAGTGAGCATTTCAATGATTTGCCAGCTTAAGCAAGAGCAAAACTATTTAACATTCATGAACCAATTTGAAGAACATATTTTCCCGCATTTCTTAGGCTCTACCTCTCAACTTCAGACAAAGAAAGAAATTTCGCTGTTCTGTGTATGTGGGTGATGTAACCAATAAATTGTCTTTTGCTCCTCACATAAGCAAAAGGCAAATGTGTAATAATCATCATATAAGCACAGATGGATGCGGGAGACCCTTGGAACGTAAAGATAAACAGAATGCGGCACATTGTATTGAGTTATTCCGCATTTTCCCACCAGGCTCTTGTACAATTGTCTTTTTCTTTTTTTTTTTTTGGGCTAATAAGCCACCAGACATTGATTCGATTTATTTATTTTTTTCTTGTTCTTTGCGGGTTTGCTTGATGGCGACGCGCGAAGTAGCTTTTATGGTTTGTCTCCGTCTCGTCCTTGTCTGCCCTGCCTGTCAGTGTCCTGTTGCTGAACGTCTGGGTGTTCTGTCTACTAGTTCATTTACGGCCTTTTACTACAGTTTTTATGCTGGCTTATTAAATGGCAAATAAATGCGGGACGAGACCGAGGCACAGGCCGCCGGCCTATGTGGAACGTGAAAATCTCTATATTCCGTTTATGTATAAATATATTTTGTACATATATTTATTTGGCTTTGACTGAGGTCAGTTATTTTTGGGGTTCCTTTGTGAGCTTTCTGTGCGTGAGTGTATTGGGGCCTTGTGCCTGTGCCTGTGCCTGTGCCTTTTGGGACCCTTGTTAACCTTCCTTTTCTTTCCGTGTCGCTCTCCTTTGATTTGGGTTTAAATATTTCCCTTCTTGGCCTTCTTGTTTTTGTTCTGGGTGTTGTTTATATGGCTGTGTGTCTTGGCTTACTTTTATGATTATTATGTAGGATTATGTGTGTTTGTGTTTTTGTTTTATGCTTATGTATTCCTTGGCCTTCAAATGATTTTAAATTTTACACCAAAAGAGTTTTCCTGCTCTTTAAATTTGCAGACATTACTCATGATGGGAAAGTATAGATTTTTAGCATTGATTGAATGAGTGGTGGGAACAACAGGCGCTGGCTGGGGATTATGCGTGGGGGTTTGGGCTTCGGGTGAGACATACGCAGACAGCTACCCCCAATGGCAAAAAAAAAGAGCCTAGACAAATCCTGAAACCCCTTTATAAACTCCCAAACTCTCGCTCTCTCTCTACGCTCGCTGTGTGTGAGTTCCCGTTGTCATTCATATCAATCGATGTGGTACTACTTTTGATTAAAATTTGCCAACCCCACCCGAACCCGAACCCGAACACACCCAACCCACACAGGATGTGAAACCCTTTGGTTTTCCTGCTTTTAATTGTGGTTTTTAATATTTCTTTGGTGGCTTGGGTGCATTTGTTATGTTTGATTTGTCTCTGGATCCTGGCTCATGGATCTGCGTTCCCTTTTGTCCATTTCGAAATGAAGCATTAAATATTTGGTCGTCTGTGAAAACAAAAGCAAATAACGTATGTTTTTTATTGTTTTTAATATTCATGTGCACATTTTTTGGATATTTTTGTTTTACACTTTTGCGATTGCAAAAGGATGGCATGGACTTTGGGTTCTACTTCTGGTTTTTTTTGTGGGATGTGGGTAGCGTGTTTAGCACTTGAGAAATGAGCATTTTTACCCAAATGAACATTTGCTTGGCCTTGGGCCATGTGTTTTGTGGGTGGGCTGCTGTGTCTGGTGAGAGTTTTCGCCTTTCAGGGGTTGATTTTCAGCTGAGAAAAAATATATTTTTCAAGATTTGTTTGTACTTTATAAAGGTGTGTGCGGAGCAGGGACATTAATTAATTTGTACAACAAATATTAGAGCATAGTATTTCATGTGTCACACCTTCTCTTTAAGAGAAACCAACCACGTGTGTTCATTGCGTAAGCCAAGTAGCATCCGATTAGATTAGAAAGGAATAACTGACCATATTTCGAGTTCTTTGTGCGAATGTTATTGCCAAAGTGCATGCGAGTATGCGAAACAAAAAGCAACCAAATCAAAACAAATTGTAGAGGAATAGTACTATGATTATTCGCACCAGTAAACACTCGCCCATTAATCGGGTGGTGGGGATCGGGTAGAACGGGCGAGGGGATCGGATCGAACAGCGCAAAAAGGAGAGAGAAACAGGGAACCGAAATTATTTTATACGCACATTATTATATGACATTTCTTTATCAAGGCCAGAGCATACGGACATAGCGGTAAACCTATCTGTATACACAGAGATATACGCGTGTGTGTTGGGGTTTTTGCGTTTTCTTTTGTGGCGATTGTGACCCAATTTCTGTTGTATCAAGTGTTAGAAAATCAAGCAACACCAAAAACAAAAACAGCCACAAAAAAAAAAAAAAACGAAGGCAGAAACATAATCATGAGAACGTAGAAAACAACACAAATAAAACTTGTATATATTTTTCACTGCTGAGGGTAAACAAGTGTGTGGAGTATGTGGTGCCTGCTGAAATGCAATTTGCGTAGTATTAATCCCCCGAATGTTATATAAGAATCGACGCGTATATGTAGGTAGCAGTTTTTTTGCGTGCTAATGAGTGACGACTGGGCTGCTGAAGGGGGAAATGGAAACAATTAATAGTGATACCAAACTGTTCTCCCCTCTCCCTAAGGCCCAACCGAAACCCTTAGCCCGCACCCATCTCTACTTCCGAGAATGACCTTGATAGTGTTTTGTTTTCATGTGTCTTGTGCCTCACGAAATACTCGTTTGTTATCAATTGCTCTTATCATCTGAACATTTGGAACTGAAGGCGCACAATTTCTGTTGAAATCTGTATAGAAATAGTCCAACAGGCACTGCACCTTGATAAGCCCCCGAGCAAAGGAAATGTTTAATGCACATTTGTACTTGCTACTTGGTGGGAAGCAGCTGCTGTTGCCTCAAATTACTAAAAGTGTCAAACTTGAAATATATTTATGAGCAATGTTGGCGGTAAATACAATTTCAGTTATCTTTAGTGGAGTATCTCAGGCAGCCAGGCAGCCAGCCACCGCTGTGCGAGTGTCACTTCAATTTGGCTTAAGTAATGCTCGCTGGCAGCACAACAAGTGCCCCATTAAGGAGCGACACATAACTTTCAGCCCCTCCCCCTTTTTTGGCACCCAAAAGAAAAGCGTGAAAAAAGATTCCATCTACCACACAAAACAACTCGTAGAAAATATCTCTCGCTCACTCTCACTCTCTCTCTTACCCTGAGAGCACATCAAAATATACTTATTTTGGAGTGACTGGGGGGAGGGTGACTCTGCTCAGTTGCCAGGTAAAGTCAGCCAGAATCCAGGACACACAAAAGATAGCCAAAGCCAAGAGCAAGAGCAAGAGCAAGCGCAAGACCAAGGCGACATTGATGTTGAATAATAACTCAAAGCCAAAGATAGAGAGAAAGGGAGAAGTGCTCTATATATATATATATGTATACATAATGTAAGCGAAAAAGCGACTTGGTGGGGGTGGGAAATGCTCATTGTGTGTGTGTAGTCAAGAGCAAGGAAATCATTTGCTTGCTTTTCGCTTTTTATTGTGCTATGTGTTTATGTGTGTGTGCTCCCTTCGTGCATGTGAATGTAAATGTGTGGGTGGGTGGAGTACTACTCCTTAGTATATGTATTTGACATGATTTTTTTTACGAGTTCAAGGTCTTGGTTAGCGTTTTCGGCGCCACCTGTTGACTACTTGCTCCTTAGTGCCGATTGAGATGCTTTAAGCGAAGAATTTCGCGAAATGGAAAGGGGAAATACAGTACAAAGGAAGAACAGTTTATTATTGAAGTGTACTACAGTGTATTAATATGCACGCGTCTCTTTACGTCTGATTTAAGTGTATTCTATGACAATTACTTCTCCAATTAGCGAACAGCACTCCATTAGGTGTGACCGCACATTCATATCGATTTAATACCTAACAATCACTTTAACCACTTTAACTTTAACAGTCTTTGCTAACAGTCTTCGTATCCCATTTCTCCATCTCTTGCAGGCGCAGTATTCAAAGCACACAAACTAATATTGGCTGCCTGCTCGAAGAAGTTTGCCGATCTGTTCGAGAACACGCCCACCAATGGCCAGTGCGTCATCATACTGGAGGCCACAACGCCAGATAATATGGCCGCTCTACTGGAGTTCATGTACAAGGGCGAGGTGCACGTGTCCCAGGAGGCACTCAACAGTTTCCTCAAGTCTGCAGAGAGCCTGCAGGTGAGTTGTGAAGGGATTTTTGTGTGCTTATTTCTCTCTAATGTTATGCATTCGTTTAGGTTAAGGGACTATCCACAGAGACCGGTCGTCTGGCCGCACAGCAGGCCCAACAGCAGCACATGGGCGATAGTTCGCCGCTAGATTCGCCCACGGGGCGACGCAGCATGCGCAACAGCCTCAGTGGCAGCAGCATTGTGCCGGGCGGAGGAGCAGGCATTAACCTGGGCAGTGGCTCCGGCGTGAACTCCATTCCCGGTGGCCTGGGCAATGGCAATGGCTTGAGTCTGGCCGGTGCCCTCAGTGGCATGGCTGCAGCCGGTGGCATGGCAGCCGCTGCCAGTGTGGCGGCTAGCGGTTTGAGCGCTTTGGCGGCCAGTGCGAATGCACTGGATCGTTGTGGCAGTGCCGGGGGCAACATTATCGGTGGCACAGCAACGGGCCATGGACCGATGAGTGCTGGATCCGGAACTGGCGGAAACGGTGGCAATGGAGTGGGTGGCAACAATGGACCCATTAGCCTGGGCAGCGGCGCGGGCGCCGCTCTTCACCTGGGCGGATCGACCGGCAGCTTGAAGCAGGAGTGCGACTCGATGATGCATCCGGGCAGCAGCTCATCGTCCACCATGGGCTACACCCATGTGCCGCCCATGTACAGACCCATCTCCTATGAGCCGCTTCGCAAGCGTGCCCTGCGCAGTCCGTATGCCGAGCAGGAGCTGCGCGGCTCTGTGCTGCGCGATGGCTCCAAGAACTCATCCTCCGAGTGTCCCAGCCCGATCAACAAGCCACCGTACCATCGTCCATCGTCCAGTGCCTCATCGACGGCGCCCACCGAAGCGGATACAATGCACTCCGAAAGGGCATCGCCACAGTCCAGGTGGGTTAACAACCGCTGAGATTTGAACAATTTATTAACGGATTCTGTCTCATCCTGTAGTCGCTATGAGAACCACAGTCCCAGCACCACAGCCGGCAACGGCAATGCCAACAGTGGGCTGGAACGCATCGTCAAATCGGAGCGTAACAATGGCAGTGCCAACGATGCCAACGATGATGATCGCGAGCTCATGGATGAGTCAACAGATGTGAGTGGAAAAAACAGAAAGAATTACCTTGATTTATTCCTTTTACCCCACCCCAAACCATGCAGAATGGAGCTGAGGATCTGCGCGTGAAGCTGGAGAACTCAAATTACTCCCCGCCACCGCCGCCGAACTCCAATACCTCATCGACCACACCGAATGCCCTGCTGGAGAACCTCAAGAATGCAGATGGATCGCTGTCGGGTAATCTGGCCGCATCCATTGCACCGGCCGACATGCTGAACGTGTGGAATGCGACCAAGATGAACAACAAGAACAGCGTGAACACGGCGGACGGCAAGAAGTTGAAGTGTCTGTACTGCGATCGGCTGTACGGCTACGAGACGAACCTGCGCGCCCACATTCGTCAGCGCCATCAGGGCATACGTGTGCCCTGTCCGTTCTGCGAGCGCACCTTCACCAGAAACAACACGGTGCGGCGGCATATTGCACGGGAGCACAAGCAGGAGATTGGACTGGCGGCTGGAGCGACCATCGCGCCGGCCCATGTGGCGGCAGCGGCGGCTGCAGCGGCGGCCGCCAATCACTCACCATAGGAAGCGGCCGCAACAGCAGCGGCAGCAGTAGTCATGAGCGCCCACAAGGAGGCGGCAAAGCAGCGTAAACGTAAATCACTCAAAATGGCACTAGAGAAGTGCATGCAGCGGCGGGATGCGATGGCCGCAGTGCCCGAAGCGGTAGGAGGGGGCAGCGAGGAGATGGAGATGGCGCCATCACAGGCGTCTGGGGCACACACAATACACACGAGCGGCTCAGCGGGCACTGAGCCGCCGTTCAGCTACGAGCAGCAGCAACAGAAGATGCACCACGAGCTGGCTCAGCAGATCAAGGCAGCGATGGCCGTCGAACAGGCCCAACGGGCCGAGGCTGAGGCCGAAGCAGAGGCTATGAACACAACGGCGAACACCACACACACCACCACAACCACCAATACCACAACGGGCACCAGCGACGGTGGCAGCGGCAGCGATGCCGAGGCCAGCGAAGTCAGCCTCGAGCGTACCATGGAGGTGGACGAGTCCGCGCCAGAGCCACAGCCTGGCTCCGAGCTCGTTGTGGTGGAGCCGAAGATAGAGCCCCTGTCGGACACTGAGGATGAGGAGGAACCCGATCATCTGCACATGTCCGAGCCGGAGCCGGAGGTCTACAATCGAATGCCACACACGCCCACCACCAGCCCCCCACACATTATACCGCCCAACGAGACGCCCATATTGACCTCCACGCCCAAGGTCAATGTGGAGCAGTAAGAAGGAGAAGAAGCCAAGCCCCCCCCAAAGAAGCTGCTTACAATTAGGTTAAGAATTGACAAACGATGAACGAAGGATGAAGCATAAAGGAGAGTGATTTACAAATGATTTACGCGATCGAAGAAGAAACAGATGACTACTGTTGCAACTGCTGTTGCCCTCGGAGACCAACAACCACCAAGCAACAAAGTCCCTGGCCCCCACAGAGGCTCAGGGCAAACTAATTAAACACAAAAAACAAAGAATTACTAATATTTCATAAGATTTATGACAACAACAAAACACATTACACACACACACACACACACACACATACATCTCACGCACACACACACACACACACACACACACACACGAACAGAAGGCAGTATTTGATGTCCAACTTTTTGCAGAATTTTTCATTACAAAAATATGTTTTAGAAAAGAATCAACCAAAAATGAAACAAACTAAAACAAAAATCAGATCAGATCAGAACAGACACAGAAACAGAGTCTCGTAGCACGAGCATTAAACCAGAACGAGAACCAGAATCAAAACAAGAGATTTGTAACAGAAACTACAAAGCAAACCACAGATAAACCGAAACACTAAACTAACAACCGAACAGAATAAACTATAACAACTGCAATCCGGCTGAAAAATTGTTTTCAGGGTGCTAATCAAAGAAAAGAGAAACTCGCAAAACAAAACAAAAAACCAACTGCAAAATCTGCAAAATAATTAAAACTAAAACTTAAAAAAAAACTCGCAAAAATAGTGAATGCAAAAAGTTTGAACGTTTTTGACTGGTACAGCCTCAAATGTAGACAGAATGAATACTGAGACTTCATATATTTGTTTTATTCGTGTGTGTTGAAAGAGTCAATCGGATCGGATTGATATTTTTGATTTCCTATAGTAAAAAAAAACACACACACAACACAAACTGCAAGTTGCCTCAAATCAAACGAAACGAAAAGCTAAAATAATTTAAAAACTGAACTTAACAGAAACCTATAAAAAATAAAACTATTACAAAATAGCTGCAACAAAACGGACAAACAAAATAAGCAAACTACAAAGCAACAATAGCAACAACAAAACCGCAACCACAAGTACCTGCAATAATTAAATAGTATAAAAAAAAAAAAAAAGAAACAAAATACAAAATAGAAAAGCGAAAACAAAATGAAAAGATGATAAATACCTAGGGAAGAAAAATGAGGAACCCGTGGGATGCAGCAGGCTTACCGCACTTCCACACTGCCGTTTGTCCAAGTTTTTTGTAAATAATTTTATTAAATTAATAATACGAAAAGGCAAACGAGATATACAGTCGGGCTGTGTGTTGGAAAGCCGTCCACATGAGGGGCAAGCATCCCAGGACCTCTGCTTAAAACCAGTGAAAGATTTGCTTTAAACGGAGAAAATATTATTTTTGTTTTATAACTTTATTATTTTTTTGAACCTCTTGAGTTTTTCAATTCAATTTTAGGCCTCAAAATTTTCAAAACCAATTCACTTAAACCAAAATTCAATTTAAAAGTTTCTTAAGAAAGTAATAAGAAGAGAAGGAAAAAAAAACAATTGGTAAATTGGGTGCCTATATAAGAATATATAATTAAATGACTACTAGTGAAATTTTATAAAACAAAGAATATATATAACGATGTCGGAGGAATGATAGACGAAAAAAACAAATAGCAAAGAAACGTAAAGTAAATGTAATTATTTTTTAAATTGAATAATTCTAGCCAAGTGATTAACGAAATGAAATGAAATGAAACGAAACAAAAAGATTCAGCAGCAACCACTCAAAAACGTTCTCAAAAACTTTCAACGCAACAAACAACAAAACAGAAAACAGCAAAGCAAAAATCTACAGCATGACAAAATTCAAAATCAAAAACAACTTTTGGCACACCTTTGGAAAACATTTTTCATACAAACGAAAATTCAACAAAACAAAAATTCAAAATTCACTTCTTTTCGGCTCTTATAATTTTGGAAGGCTCCATCAAAAGGTTGGGGGGGCTAAAATCGAAATCTAAACTGCCCCCCACCGCTACAAAAACCCACAAAGAACAAGCTGTAAAATAACTAACAAAAAAGAGAAATATTTGTTGTAAGCAAAGATTGAAAGAAAAGCCCAAAGTGGGAAACATTGAAGAAAATAATAGTCCGAGAGAGAAAGCGGACAACACCTGTAAATACATTTATCAATATGCATCTGTAGCATATACATATGTGTGTGGCCTCAGTTGTAGCCTAGATATACATAGTTATAGCATATACAGTACTAAGCGCATATGTAGGAACACTTAGGCTCGCCAACAGGAAAGAGATCTTATAGAGAAGGGTTTTTATTTGATTTTGAGACAAGCTAACTGAATTTCCATAGCAGGCAATAGCAGGAAGTCCCCTGATAACTACAGGATGTCCACTCTGATGACCAGCCAGGCAACTCCATAGTAAAGCTAACAAAATAATAGCCAAAATGTTGAATATTTTAAATATATTAACTGTTGAACCACACAAACACACACATACAAAAAGAAACAACAAACAAAATACAACACAGACCCACGCCCACGCCCACGCATGCAGGAAGCTCTTTTCGGGCTATCCGAATTTTTTAAGTAAAGTTAAAATATTAAAATAGTTCTTACTTAACCGACACCCAGTTTGTTCTGTGATATCGTTTTGAAGTTGCAAAAATGAAGTAAAGGTTTATTTTCATTTAGTTCTTTTGATCGTTTTATGCATCATTTTTCCCCCCGATAGAGAAGAGAAAACCCACTCGAATTTCAACCCTTGCATTCGTGTTGAGAATAGAGACAGAAACAATAGCAATATTATACAATTGAAACTTGGCAATATTTTTAAACCAAAACTACCTCTTTGCTGACCCCTCCACACACAAACAGACACACACACACACACACCCATTGACAGTCCTAATGCCAGTCCTCAAAAGGGGATACCCGTCAACGTTCGCTGGAGTCTGAATTACATTTTATTTTTAAGTACGTTGACGGGCCTCCAAGCAGGGACTGGCACAGGATCCAACCCATCAAACAATCAATCAATCAAATCAGTCAGTCAGTGAATCAATCAAACAAACAATATTTAATATTCAGGGGTTTTATGATTAACCATATTAAAATACCAGATACGGATAATTTAAGATTATTTTTTAGTTTAGTTTTTAGGTTCGGTCTTCGTTTTCGTTTTGAAATTAGACTGTAATCAAACTCAGGAACTCATATACCTCAGGAAGCAACCTACCTCTTTGTGTTTTTTAAACCTTGTTTCGACTAATTTTACGATTATTATTATTATGCTTATGATTCTGAATTCGGTTTCCATTAAATGTATTGTATGGCGGAAACACACAAACTATTTTGTTGTAATTGAAGATGCTATCAAGGAAAGCTTTAGTTCTTAGTTCGATTATTATTACATGCGATTAACGATAATTAATTTTAAATGCAAAAGACACACGCAACACCAACACACACCGACACACACAATAGCTATAATGGGAAACCAAAAACAAACAGATCGAACTGCAATAGTAAACTGAACTACCTCAAAGGCCATAGACTGCGCAGTAACGAAGTAATGAATACCTTACCTATCTTATTTTATACAAATTTTCATTTCATTTTATTCTTCTTTTTGTAAAATGGTGACAAAAAACACAACTACTAAAACACGCACACTGGAAAACTTTTTGGCTAATTGAACAAAAATTCGGTTGTAATATCCACAACAACACCACAGATTTTCCTTTGAAGCCCATGTTTTTAATGTAAATGTAAATATGCGCTAGAACACACACATACAAAATTAAACATGTAAAATGTAAAACCCACAAGAATATACTTTTGGCTAACAAATCTAATTATACGGAAATATGAGTATGTATCCACAAACAAATTTTACTATGTACGAGTACGAGTATGTGTAGTGAGCGATACGAGTACGACCAGGATTAAGATCATTTGTATACATCAATTTCGGCAAAGCAACTAAATGAGGCATGAAAAACCACACGTAATTCTATATAATCTTACTATAAACAAAAATACAAAGAAATTATTTAAGGCTACAAAATTTACCCAAAAAAAAAACAAGGAAAATAAAGAGATCAAGAGAGTCCACAAAAAAAAAGGATAGAATGAAAAAACGAACACAGTTAAAAGAAGGTATACTTTTTCTTGAGCCAAGTCCCCCAAGGCCAAGAAAAAATAAAATTAAACAAAATTGAAACCCCAAACGGTTATAAAAACAAAAAAGAAGGAAAAACATTTTTGCTTAACGAAAGAGGAAAATTTTCTAAAAGAAAGAAGCAAATTAATTGCAAAACCCAACAATTTTAGGCTTAAACTTTTGGCTAAAACAAGAAAAAATAAAACAAAAACGAAAATAAGTAACAATTATTAGGCACATGGAAAAAAGAAAACAAAACTCTATGTATATGCATCAAATATTATACGTACATAAATATTTATTTGAAAAGAAAAATGGAGAAAAACGAAAAAAAGCAAAAATATTTTTATCTATAATCAGATTTTAGGCCCAACTTTTCGACAAGAAGGCGTAAAATAATTTCTTTGTAAAATATGTTTGGACAAACAAAAAAGGAAGGAAAGGAAAAATTCCCCGAAAGCATAATTAACTTAATCTAAACATAAATTAAAAACAAATGTCGCCATTTTGCATTTAGAGCGTACAGTACAGTAAAGCACACGAAGCGTGACTCACCGAAGTGAGTCGCAAACAAAAACATTATTGTACATAAACTATATTAACGAAAAATCCAGAAGAATAATTGTGTATTGTATATTCGTAATTTTGGAATCAGTTTAGTTACCTTACCCCCTACCCCTCTTGCGTTGTAAAAACTAATTTTAAGCAAAAACAAAAAACTGTAACGAGAATAAAATGAAAACATGAAAACGATATAAAGTACATATACATATGTATAGTGTGCACAGGTACAAAAGAAAATTAAGTTAAATTTAAAATGAAATTTAGTGCACGAAACATTTCGTAAGAGATCGATGTAATTTTTGTTATATATTTTTGTTAGTAATTGTTTTTCTATTAAATGTTTAGTGCGAAATGTCAACAGGAAGTCCTCCCCCCGCAACAAGCCAATTGTACTTACGATTACGATTCAATTTCAATTTTATTTTTGTGACCGTACAGTCCCCTAACAGTCCCAAGTCCCAAGTCCCAGTCCCAGGTCCACCCACCACCTATTATGATTACATTACTTTATCTAAGTTATTTCAAATAACTATAAAATAATGCGAAGAACAGCACACGAAATATGTGGATGCAGAGAACCCAGTTTAAGTTTAGGAGGAGGCAAATGAATGTAATATATATTTTTGTATAATTTGTAAACATTTTTCACGCTCGTTCTGTTCGATCGCAACAAATTGGCTTGTTCACACATTTTTCTAATTTGTAACCCTTACGATTAAATCTAAATTTATAATCTAAACACACGTAAATGCTAAAAACAAAATGCAACTAAATAAATGTTAAACCCCAGAAACAAAAAAAAAAACCACAAAATCCTCTCATAATTGGCAATTTTCATTCCACAAAATTTCTCCCCTTTACAGTACAGTACACCCTCTGACAACATATGGAGTCCCCTCTCTCCTCCACACACTCCTCGATTTTAATTGTAACGAAAATATGTATACTAAAGTTTTATATTTATCGAAATTAATTGAAATGGAAATCAATGTGTTTAGGCCTAAGCGACTTTACAGTTCAGTTCAATGCGAAATTGAAGGAAGAGAAAGCTTCTTGAAATTAGTTGTATGTGCATACGATATCCGACTATACACACATACATATATCCCCCCCTCATACAGGGTACACGGAACTACTCCCCTCTCAATGTTGTAAATCAAGTCTAACATGAGAAATCGAACGAATCGAAGCGAGTACAAATTAAATTTAATATGTGTGTACGCTGTATAATTGTTTTAGTTTTATATTTTCGTTTGCTTCTTTTGTAATTATATTTATCTTTTTAGTAATTATGTGTAGGTCACACTTAATGAAAAACAAAACGAAAAAGTAAAGAGAAGCATACAAAAAACTTTTGGAACAAATGACAAGTACAAAATTTCAGGTAAAACGAAAAACAAAATTTAGCAGATAAATTAAAATTTAAAGAGCATACATATACGAGTATATGTGTAAAAACGATGAGGATGAAGAAATCGTACAAATTTTTCGGCATAAAGTATAACGTAAAAATAAAGATAGGAATAACTGTTGGAAAAGTAATGACAGTTGGTGTGACTTTCAGGATTGAGTGTTGATTGAATTTATGTTTACATCCGACCGAAGGCTTTCTTTCATAATTTATTTTTTTACCATACATTTTTGTTTTTTAGTTTGAAATTTGAATGCAACATGACTTGAGTTACACATGACACACAAGAGATATCTCTATGTTAAAGGCGAATTCGTTTCAACTTTGTTCTGAACTGCAAAGTTTTCAAATCAACCAAACGAAGTTTTCATCATTTGAACTAAAATAAGAAAGAAAGAACGGTTCGAGCAGAGACAACAGTCCAGCATTTTGGGAATAGAGTTTGATGCAGGTGAATGTGTATTTAAATGTACTTTAACTACGTGAATATGTATATGTAAAAGAAAACAAAACAAAACAAAAAAATGGAAAAAAGAAAATAGTTTTAAACAAAGCAAACTCAGGGCATTATCAAGACTCACGACGATGTATACATGCATTTAATACAACAAACAAAAGAAAAGAAAAGAAAAACCAACTTTTTCGATATGTATTACAATTATATTGGTAATGAAAAACCAATGAATAAGGATGTAATAATCATGCAAAAACGATTATGAACAACTCAGGTATTTAATATTAATGGAAATATTTTTAAAAACTTAAAAAACGAAATGAGAAACGGCAGTCAAGTCAACATTTTCACACGTTGTGCAATATTCTTAAAGTTTTCTAAATACGTAATAGTATTAATACTCTTAAAAACAAAAAAGGTTGATCAGTTGAGAGTTGAGATGTTCATAAGGAAGGGAAGGCAAAGGCAAAGGCAAAGGCATGGCATGGGAAGCGTGAGGATAGGAGGTGAGTTTTTGAAGCACATGAAGACTAGGCATGTACTTACTACTCTTTTAGTATTTTGTTTTTACCACCCACACAACAACAACCACAAAAACTACTACAAAGAACAACCATTACAACCAACACACAGATACACCAGACACACACACAAACAGATAAATACGCACACACACATAACACACGAAAAATAGTAAAATAAATAGCTAAATGAAAATGAGTTTATATAAAGAAGGAAAACATAAAACTGTGATTACATTTGATTGTCTTGTCGAAAGCGTTTGATAAGCGAATGTTGCATAATTATTGATCGAAAAAAATTTAAGAAAATGGGAAATACGAAATATGAATGGAATGGAATTTTCTGAAACCGCTTTTGAGTTCGAGTATTGGCATATGTACATGTACGTACCGGTCTGTCGAGAGTGCGACAGAGCATAAGTAAATAAATATTTAATTAGCCGAAATATTAAACTTCAAAAGATCTTCTAAGGAAAATACAAATTACATATAATTATCTAAGTTATTTGGGATTATATTAGTGATGCCTAACTCTTATTTTACAATACCTTAACAGCCCAATCCAGGCTGAAAACTGAAGACAAAGCAACCCTTTGATTTAGTTCTGCATTTCACTGATCGATTTTCTGTATGTAGTGCGCTTTTGTTAAAAATTAAAGTCTGAGATTTTACATTTGCATATGTAAATATGTAAATGGTTAAGGTATACACCTATTGAAGAAGGAAATCTAACGATTAATTAAGTTTATTGAACTACAGAAAACCCACAAACACACACACAATCGTATATGAATTTGACTATGGCTATGTATGTATGTAAAAATCAAGAAAAGTAATGTAGATGGAGATGGAATGGAATGGAAAAGGAAAGGAATGAAAACTATGCTATACTACAATTTTCACACCAGACATTTGATTTCTATATATAAATGTATGAATATCTAAAGAAAACGCAAGCGAGACATTTAAGTAACAGCTTGAATATATTTTAAACACAAATTCGGGTTAAAAATTTACGATTATGCCATACATTTTTGTGTAACATATAAAAAAACTACGAGTAAGCTAAAAGAACAACAGTCACGGAAAAGCAAACAAACACATTGTCACAGAAACTCACAGAAAGCATGAAGACGGAAATGGAAAACTGAATGAAATTAAGCATTAAAAGTATATGAACGAACCTAAATTCAATAAACTTGTTGCTAAAATATAATAAAAAAAAAAATAAAATAAAAACAAAGAATATTTAAAGTTTCAAATTGCGGGGGAAAATGCATACAAGCAGGACGGGCTTCTGTTGAGGGAATTCAAATTTAGCGCATTCCACTGCTTGCTGCACTGCTTGCTCTGATGTATGTTCACACATGCGCCTAACATCACTGTAAACGATACGGCAGCGCCGCGAATGTTAGAGCCAAACAGTAGTGGTGTGTTTGCGTATGCCCTTTTAATGGACGAATGGTCTTCATTTATTGCAGAAATGATATGTGCATGGATAGAAAATCTTGTTAAAGCCTAAAACGTCCCCAAAACTATATTCAAATGGTGTGCAAATGTTGTGCATACTGCAAATTAGACCTAAATGTAACGACTGTGGCGGGAAACTCTTTCATCCCTTTCTCACAGGTAGTGTTAACAGCAGTAACAGTTAAGGAAGAGGCAGATAAGGCAACCAGAGTACGAAAAGCTTTCTTCAGCAGCAGATAAGGGCCACTGCAGTTGCATTTCAGAGAGCATTGAAGTCCTACAGAGTCTAGGTAATTATGTGTAAAGTTAATTCATAAATGTATGAAGCATAATTAAAAGGTATTGGTTGCACTGATATAACAAGCATTTGTGGCCGTTTTAAATAATAATTTATATCAAAAGAAAACTAATCACAGATGCATGTGCATGAATCACTCACCAGGCATTGATTCCGCGATCAAACCTAAAGCTTTTGCGATAGCACAAAATTTCGCAATTGTGCCAATTCAAACGATTTGATTGACTAAAAAATGAGTCAAGTGAGCATCTTTAAGTTGCCCAACGAGTGCTTCTACACCATAATGAAGTACATCAAAAGGAACTGTGAGCGCGAGAGACCACTTGCCACCGTTGACATCAAATATGATGATCTCATTAGTTTCGCCGCTTGCTGTCAGGCTTTTGGCCTTCTGCTCTGCGAATGGGATACGGATCTATCTTTCAAGCTTATGCAGTATGTGACGCTCAAGACCAGCAACATTCACATTGACTTTGAAAAGATGTATGCCCGGTTGAAGGATGCCACAGCAAGGGACAAGGAAGCCCACTGGAGCTCCCTTAGCCACGCGATCAGAAGCTCAGGCCTGACCGAAGTCGCATTACGCTACGCTCCCGAATCATTCTATGCAGATCACATGGATGCATTTAACACCGTGTTGAGTCAACTACAGAAAAAACAAAATCTAATAGGGTTAAACATTAATGTACCAGGTGAGCGGGGTCTAGGGGTGTTCGTTCCCTTTGTGGCATGAAACATTTGACTATTTTCAGCCTACACCCTGGAGGGTCTGGGACGACTTGCAAGCCTCGCGACGCTCCGTTTAAATATACGAATGGATATTGATGATTTGATCGAAATCTGCCGCTGTAATAAGAACCTGCGCGTTTTGGAGTACATGAACAATGAGACAGGTGGAAAGAGGCTGGCTGGTATCGCCCCGCACTGCCAGCAGTTGGAAGAACTCACCTTCAAAATGAGACCCGACTGCGATGCAAGGGAGTACAGGAATTTCGCCGAAATTCCCAAGCTGCAACACTTAACGATTTTGGGGGTGCACGAGAAGGGCACTCTACAGCCACTGCTGGAGGGATTTGCCTGCAATCAGAGCACGATCCTCAACAGATTGTTTGTTGTCAATGCAACATTGGATCAAAATGAAACGCAGGCAATGGTCCAGATTGAAACATTAACTCAAGTGAAGTGTGGATTTGACGATACCCAGAGCATTGGGCTCTTGTCTCAACTGAGTCATCTCGACTGCTTGCAAATCCAATCTAAACAGGAGTTTGGCACAATTTGCGAGCATATTCTGAGCATTCTAATGAAGTCAAAGGTGAATATAAATATTGATCTACTCAATTGGTCAATATCATACGGAGAAAGTGGGGAGCTTTCGATTCGGATGACGGATGTGAATGCGAATCCCACCGACTGCAGTCCACTTTCGTCGCTGCCTGCTTTGACTTCCTACCAAATTCACGGACTGCCTCGTATTGGTTTACTTCAGCCGATTCTCAATGGATTGGCACTCAGGCAAGCACCCACTCTGACCGACTTGTTGTTGAAAAATATAACGGCAGAGGAGATCGCAACAGTGTCTGAGATAGCATCCTTGAGCAGATTAAAGTGTGGATTTGCCGGAACACAAAACATTGAGCTGCTGGCGCGGTTACCCGTGCTTAAAAAATTAACGATTTTGTGTGTGCCATGCCTAGGATCCCTCCGGGGCCTTCTGGCTGCTCTGGTCTCGCGCCCGTCACAGACACTCCGAAAGTTTTGTCTATCAAACGGAAAACTTGATGGCGGGGAGGCAAAGGCATTGGTCCGCCTGAGATCTTTGCGCATTTTGAAATGTCAATTCGCCGATCCTGTGGACATACAGCTCCTGTCCCAACTCCCCGAACTCAATCATCTTTATCTGAATACGAATGAAATGTTCAGCAAGATATCGCCTGGTGTCCTGACAGTTTTAAATGGCTGCAAAAAGTTATCTAAAATTCACATAAATTGTAGTCCAAACCTGTTCCTTCATGTGGACATGAAATCGTCTGAAATTCTCGTAGAATTCCTGGAGGCATGTCGACGCACAATTAAAATCGAGATCAACGGCAAGAGCATAACGTTCAATGGGATGGAGAATACATTGCACCTAGAAATGGATTTCTTTAACCGATATAATCTCGCGATAGAGCCTTTATCCCGCCTTGAGTCCGTGAACCGTATGGAAATAGAAGGATACCATAAAGCTGGATCATTGAGACAGTTCTTTGCCTATCTAGCGATGAGAATAAATCACAATCTGCAGAGTCTGTCGATGTCCGGCTGCCCGATTGACTTTACTGAGACGACGGAGTTGGCCAAGATTACTTCATTGACGAGCTTCGAGGGCAGCCTCTGCAATGAAGAGAGCTTCCAGCACTTACTTCACTTAAGCCATTTCAATGTAGCAGAAACAGAGGACTTTGGCAGGTATGTGATTAGCTCTTAACTGGCTGGCAAATGTGTAACTCCATTCCTTTCCAACAGCAACATCGTTTTCCATAGGAGCACTGGCAGATTGACTTTGATGAATCGCGTTTACTATGGCAAAGAGATTGTTCAGAATTCTCCAGCTATTTTGCAGAACTTGCGGGACGTGAATATTCTCGGCTATACGAAGGATGATTCCATGCATCAGTTCTTTGACCAGCTGGCCACGTGGCACGGCGACAATCTGCAGTCACTAACCGTGCTCAAACCCTACGAAATGAGCAATGCGGACCTGAGGGAAGTCAGTCGCATGAAGTCGCTCCGCATCCTGGACTGCGCTTTAACCCAGTCCAAGGACATGCAAATAGAACAGTTGGCTCAACTTCCCAAGCTGGAAGTGCTGGTTGTTCAATCCCATCGAATGGGCTCCCTAAAGAACCTTCTTGAACAGTTGGCCGCCAAGCAGTGCCCCACGCTCGAACATCTGGCTGTAAGGGCGGCAAGTTTCACGCCCCAAGAGGTGACCCAAGTAGCGGCTATTACTTCCTTGAAGCGACTCGAGTGCGTGGGTCTCGATACATTGAGCATTGAAGGCTTGGCCGAGTCTGCGCAGCTTGAAGAGTTGGCCATCTCCTCTGGCCCCGAAAGGGGTTCTCTGAAAAGTCTCTTCCGGGCACTTTCACTGAAGGCTACACCCCAATTAAAGAATTTGATTTTAGAGGACACTTCCATTGACCTTGAAGAGGCTCGCCACCTCGGGCAGATTGATTCAATCACAAATCTACAGTGTGGCTTTAAAAACGAAGAAAGCTTCGCCCTTCTGGCCAGCATGACAAATCTTGAGAGTCTGAAAATCACTTCGGAACATGAATTTTCACATATTTCCGAGCATCTGCTTGACATCTTTCGCAGTTGTCGCAAACTTAAGACTTTTGATTTGGGAGATACAAACTGCAATCTCTGCCATGAGTTTCTGAAAAGTTCTTCTGAGATACTGAAATCGGTGAGAAATCTTTCAACTCAAGGTCCATTGGTATTATGGATTTCCGTATCATCTTATGCAATAAGCAATAAGGTAATAATGTTATTATTCTGCGGTGTGGTACACAATGTACATTTTTGTTTTGTTTCTTTCAGATAAAAGCCATCGATAGAAAGTATTTAATTGTTAAGAAGAAATTTTGTTGATTATTTTGAGGACTACTAAGAAAGTGATTGCCATAAAATGTTTTGTAAGTTCATTTAAAAAGCGATTATTCAGGAGCAAAACAAAAAAAAATTGATTGAATTTATTCCTGAAGCGAATATCACTTATGACGCACCATCATTTGCATTACTTTGTGTGAGTAATCACCATGGAAGGCCGCCCATCTTACACCCTTCCACAGCATGCCTGGTTCAGTGGCGCCCCTCATATACATGCCGAAAAGTGAGCTGAAATTATGAGATTAAAGCCAATCAGTATAACTATTCATGAGTTTTTGCCTACCTTTCGCCACACTTTAGATGCCACCAGGGAGACATGCGATCATGTGCACAATTACCCTCCGGCCACTGATCGTTGTCCCTGTCGTAGGTCGTAAATTTCTGGTTTCTGCATTTAAACATCGAATCACCAGCATCCCCACTGTATGCGCCCAATTTTGACATTTTATACGATTCCTTTTCACTTTCGATGAGGAATTCGTCGTATTTGGCATATCGCGTGTTCCCCTCGAAGTCCTCCAGGTGTACATACAGCTCATGGGTCTCTGACTTTGTTATGGCATGCAGCTTATCCAATCCTATAAAGAAGTTGCCGCCAAGGTCCCCGAATCCCCTTTTAGACTCCTCCCAGCTGCGGTAGAAGTTCAACTCTCCATTTGTGCGACGTGCGATTACAGTCCAGCCGGGACCCGCAATCCTTGCATCGCAGAACACTTGAAAGCTTTCCATGCTCGGCATCATTATGGTATAAATACCATGCGCCCTGGGATCGAGTGGGCAATGGCTATAGGGATTCTGAAAGTATATTTTTTCTTTGCCATTCACGAATTAGTTTCTTGTAGATGAACTCGAAACTTTACCACTTCTGCTGCTAATCCTGTGCTTTTGCAGAGGAAAAACACAAGCAACCAGTAGATACTCGTACACTTTGACTGCATTATGACCCGCTGATGACTGATTGAAGAGTGACATTCATTTCGAATTTTTATACGTTTTTCTTATCTACATTTTGGCACAGGCTTCAACCTTTAAAGACAATTGAAGAATTTCCAAGAATTGATTTTAGTTATTAAAGAAAGCAACCTTACATGATTATTCTCTGTTTGTATCTCTCGCTGGGAGCGTCTATTATCTTATCATTGTCCTCCATTCGCACGGATTGAGAGTCATTAGCCGATGCGTTAGCAAAATGTCTGCAATTATTCCCGCAACTTTATTTAAACATTTATCTAACATTTAAACGTTTCGCAGCGGTTTGTTATTTTTCAGAATATCTACCACAGGGTATATAATAAAATTGTTTAAATTTAACTTCAAAAGGCTATACAAAGGCCTCCATTTTTTGTGGCTTTAATCAGATTAAGCTTTAATGGACATTTCATTTAATAATTCAGTTAAATATTTGGTGATTCTGTAATAAATATTGGTATTTATTTATATTTATATTTATTGGTATTTGTAGTTGACTTTTTTATTTTTAACCTTATTTTGCATCAATTCAATAAAGATACGTCTTGAAAGTCCGCCAATCTTGTGGAGAATCGAATGATGGCTCGAGTAAAATTAAATTTTTAATGCTGAGAGTTATAAAGCAGCTGGTAATATTAACCAGAAGATCAGCATCGAGGAATATGATTTAAGACCGCTGTATATTACGGTATATTTTTACAATGATATGGTATGTTTTGGTATATTTTTGAGGGCTCGACGGTATTTTATCGATAATTCCGCGGTCACACTGCGCTTGCAATAAAAAACGAAAATATAAGAATATAATAATATTTTATAAAATATATAAGAATATAAATCAAGACAGGAGCTTCATCAATAATTGCGCCCTCGACCAGTTGGGTAAATAAAACGGAGCAATAACGCAGACAGCCAGAACAACAGAAAAATCCTCAAAATGGTGAGTAATAGCCGAGATATGAAAAAGACAACAAAAAAAAGGCCAACAAAAGATCAGTTAGAGGCTTTGTGCCGCCGCCGCCCCATTAATCAAGAGTGTCGCTAACAACACATACACCATCGATGATGGTAGCTCTCAATCGAAACGATGCAAATGCAGCGGTGGCATAGGGGCGGCAGGCAACCCATGACCGACGTAAAACAATGACCATATATGGAAGTAGTCGTGGCTGGCTCCACCGTTTACCGGTCGCACTCATCCCCCAGAGGGGATTACGTTTGTGGAGGTTATCAGCATTTGGAAATGACTCAATTTTATCGACTCGACCAATTAAGTTTCTCTTTTTCGTGTTTCCTTTTTGTTTTTGTTTTCTTTAGTCGGAAATGCAAATGGACTGTGCTTTGGATTTGATGCGTCGACTGCCGCCGCAGCAGATTGAGAAGAACCTCATTGACCTGATCGACTTGGCACCAGATTTGTGCGAAGATCTGCTCTCGTCCGTGGATCAGCCGCTCAAAATAGCCAAAGACAAGGAGCACGGCAAGGACTATCTGCTGTGCGACTACAATCGCGATGGCGACTCGTACCGATCGCCCTGGTCGAATTCCTACTACCCCCCACTGGAGGATGGCCAAATGCCCTCGGAGCGGCTGCGAAAACTAGAAATCGAAGCCAATTATGCCTTTGATCAGTATCGAGAGATGTACTACGAGGGCGGCGTATCCTCCGTGTATCTGTGGGACTTGGACCATGGGTTTGCCGCTGTGATACTCATCAAGAAGGCTGGTGATGGTAGCAAAATGATTCGTGGCTGCTGGGACTCCATACACGTGGTGGAGGTACAGGAGAAGACCACAGGAAGGACGGCCCACTACAAGCTCACCTCCACGGCCATGCTGTGGCTGCAGACAAACAAGCAGGGATCGGGCACCATGAACTTGGGCGGCTCACTGACGCGCCAGACGGAGCAGGACGCCAATGTCAGTGAGTCGTCGCCGCACATTGCCAACATTGGCAAGATGGTCGAGGAGATGGAGAACAAAATACGAAACACACTCAACGAGATCTACTTTGGCAAGACCAAGGACATTGTGAACGGCTTGCGCAGCACACAATCGCTGGCCGATCAGCGCCAGCAGGCGGCCATGAAGCAGGACCTGGCCGCGGCAATACTGAGGCGCAATGTGAAGCCCGAATCGAACTGAGAACTGAGCGGCTGAAGGCGGTATCAAACAGCAGCAGCAGCATTAGGCGTGGCCCGTGGCCCATGCCCGTGTTATGTGGCCCCCTCATAATTCAATTTCAATATACATAAACCTAACCACAGCCCGATCTATACGTTACCTTTTGAATACTGATTTATGATTGGATGTAAAAATATGTGAATTATGCCCACAAAAATGTTACCCCAATGCAATGAGACATTTGGGTAATATTTGGCAAATTTAGAGTCGTTAAATTCCCTAAGACTTACACCCTTTCCAGATGAGATCGATCACTTTTAGGGCTCCGTATACGTTGGGCAGCGCAGAGAAAGAAAAACTAATATATTAAATATGCATTTCTAGGCAGTAAATTTGTTAAATGAGAGAAATTGTTAAACCAGATGATACATTATGTATTTTGATGTAAAACCACCAAAACCACGCCCCCAACCACACTTCACTCTGTTCAGTCAAAAACGCCAACTTCGCCGCCCTCAAGACAGTATCTATAAGTATTTGTATCTTATTTGTATAATGCATATTTTGTATCGAAGTTTGCGGCAAATGAATTTTGGTTGAGAATCCTCCCCAGCAGCACCTACATTTGCCAGCAGCCTCTGTTCTTAACTCTTCCGCGAATAAATCATGTGTTTCTATGAATTGTGACTGTTTTCGTGTGTATATTTTTAACCATAAAAAGCTCGAAGCATATAAATATTAACTAATGTCGCTTTGTATTTTGTATTAACTGAGCAAATGCACATTACCCCTAAAACTTTCTTTACTTAAATATTTTTTGAAAGGAAAGAAGAAATTTTATACAAGAAAAGAAAACTAATAAATATTGAAATATTACTGCTCGGGGTCATTCGGGTGGCATTTATCATCAGATAGTGATCAAAACACGGCCAATGTTTGGTATATGGCTACCATCATTATACGATTGCATTTATTTATGAAAAATCGTAACTTTTCTACGAATAAAAATGGTATTTAAATGGTACGATTAGGTGTGTGTACAAATGTATGTTTTAGTTATCAGTAAATAGTTCCAGTAGAAGTGTTCACCCGATGACTCAGCTTGGGTTTGTTGGTTTTTATCATAAGTATTACCGAATACATACATATATCGTTTGTTTGTGTGTGTTACGAGCTATGTACAAAGAGGCAAGGGGCATCAATATATATATATGATCGATTTATATGCATTTACTTATTCAAGTAATCAAAATTATCGTTCGAAAGTTCATAAATTAAGTGTGTTTGTGTGTGTCGCATAGATATCTACAACTTAGGCTAGGTATTACGAATAAGTTAGGATTTATTTAGTGGGAGAACGTGTGTGGTGTGGAGCGAAAGTAACTACGATTACATACAATATTTTACACGGGCTGAGAAAGCGGTGGTTGAAAAAAGCAAACACAAAATTTCGTAGTGTAGACATTTCAAATACACTTGCGGAAACACTTTTATCGTAAGTGGGGGAAGATCAGCAGCAGCGGCAGCAGCACAGCTCTAAATACTTGTCCAGCAATCATTTCTTTTCTCCCTTCTTCGCTTGCCTTGGTTGCAACTCGTTCTCATGTTGAAAAAAAATGTAGATTGTGCAACATAAAATATGCTAAAAAGTCTCTTAGTTCCAGGCGTAAGTCACAGCTTATTGCATTTTGGAAACTTCGAACTTGGTGTTGATGATTTCCTCATCCGAGTCGAGCACGGGCAGAGCAGAGTCCGCCATCGATGAGGGTATATTCTCCTCCACCCAACGCAGATCGTCTTCTTCAGTGGTTGTGGCTGTGCGCGAGTTTGTCGAAGACTTCGGCGTGCCATTCTGTCCCCGCATTTTAACGCCATAAGCATCGGCAACAAACTGATCTTCCTCATCTGTCAGAGAATCAAAAGAGTTAGTTCTGTAGGAAAGGGACTTAAAGATCAAGTTTTACCCTCTTCATCCTCATCCTCGGGACAGTCGAGGAGTGGTGTGAAGGCGTAGCGTTGATTGTTATTTGTCGGTCGCCATAGTATCATAATAACCAGCAACAACACAGAGAACAAAATGTGCCAGAAGCCCGTATCGATCCAGATATCACGCCAGCCCTAAGTGGGGTATGGATACAAATGGATTAAAATATTGCCCCATGCAACACTGTCGTGCTAACCAACTCACAGGCGTACAGTTCTCGGTTCTACGCAAACGCAGCGCAAATAGCATGAAGATGACGGAAGCGATAACAGCAAAGATCAACGTGTTGGTGAAATGCCTATACAGCGATAGCTTCACCATGTTTCTATAAAATATATAAATAGCTCAGTCAACACTCAAAGGATAACCATTTCTGTGGGTTTACCTTCTCAGCCTGAGCGTTCTGGTTGTCTGCACCAGGGAAGTGAATATCCACCAACAGATGCCTGTATCGAGCACCGCCAGAGGTATGCTGGCCACCAGCAACTCGCTGCGATCGCTCTTCACATTGGTAATACGCAAATAGCTCTCGACACAGGCCAGCACAAAGTAGAGCGTGCCCACGCCCACAACTCGATGCAGCATGGGACCCAAGCGAGGTCTATAACAAGCAAATTGTACTACTCTGTAAATCAAGATTTAGTTTGGATTCGACTCACTTGACAATGCCAAAGCCCAGACTCATAATGATGACCAACATTCGAGCCAGAGTGCGCTTCGCACAAGATACAAATTCAGCGACCAGCTCCGCGTGTTCCACAGCCACTCCAGTGTTGGTGAGAGTTTGGTACTCGGCATAAAAGAAGGCCTTCTCCAGCATGCCAAGCAGTATGACGCCTCCAATCCAGAACTGAATTCTCAATAGATCTCGCCATTGGGAGAACGAAACAAACAGCCAAATTATGCCAAAGATCACATAAACAATGCACATGACCAGATAGAACTAATAAATAAATACAATCAATACAAAGTGTAAACAAACAAAGTGATTGTTGCTTACGGGCAGGAATGGCCAGTCTATGGCTGAGATAAAACCATGCGGTCCCAGGAACTCAATGTGCACTATGGCATTAAATTGCTGATTGGGTAGTCCCGGTGCTATGTTCACTTCAATCTCGTATATGCCATCCTCCTTGACAGTGGCCACCGAATTGGTTGTGGGCTGAAAGCAAAAGTAATTATAAAGGTTCCTTGAGTGTTTGGCATTTTATCAGCATGTTGGATTCTCTTTAGTGCGCACAAAAACAAAAAGGAAAACGATAAGCCGCCTGTAGACTGATAGCACACAAAAAAAAACTTTTAAGCAAACGTTTTTTTATGCTATCCAGATAGTACAATAATTGCTATCTCGCACTTGAATTGTGTCATGTGTAAAAATTTACCGAAAGGGGATGTTTGTTTTCCTTCATGGGATGCTTCGGCTCCGGTGTCGACGGCACTCCTTCCGTCGCCTTTTCCTTGTCGCCAACTAGCACAATCAGTCCATTGCAAGCATAAGTCTTTGTTACCTGTACAATAACATTGTTTATGCTTGAGTTCTGTTGCTGAGTGGGGTTTTCCGCTATAAGTTGCAGCTGCAAAAAACAAATACAGGTTAACGCTGCTGCTGGGCCAACAGAGTTGTCAAGTGGGAAATGTTTTACCGTTCGATCATCGAAGATGCAAGGATGCTCTGTTAGCTTAAATGTAATGGTCAGATTCGTCTCCACCTTGGATGTGCATGCCACAACTGTAAATATACACAATACATAGGTAATAAGGGAGGTGTGGGTTGGGTTGGGGTAAAAAAGCATTCGTCACACGTCCATGTACACACGTTGCAACAATACTAACTTTGCGTGTAGATCTTTGTGTTCGCCAGCAGTGGTCGCTGTTCCCTGATATATGGCATATCCTGCAAGAAACGGTATCAAATGGATCATTTAGTTGGTATTGGCATATATTTTCTTGGTTTCTCAGGTGGATTCTTACTGCATAAACTTTAATATCGACAATACCGGGGTCGGACTTTGCGGCTGTGCGGGTGGCGGCTGAAATAAGCGCAAACGCGACTACGAAATGAGTCGCCGTCTTCTGCATTTTGATACTCGTTTTCTATGGCTACGTCACAATTTTATCTTGGCTGTTTTGCAAAAAAAAATCTAAATAAATAAGAATGTTATTCTCAGTCAGTGTGCAGTGTGGCCGCGGATTTATCGTAAACCGCCTGACCCTCGGAAATATACGTTCTCTATCTCAAAATATACTGATGATATCGATGGTCGCATGGCAACCCTACAAACAGCTGTTGTGACATAACCTCGACTTTAAAAATCACCAAAAATGCTACGAAGGGTAAATAAACGTTTAAATGTATTAAATTGTATATAAGAATGCCTGTAATTGCGTATTTTAGGTACTGCCAAGTGTGCGGGTGGGTCTGCAATTAGCCAAGCCAACGACGACGGCTGTTAGAAGCACCAGCGGCAGCGTTTACGAGCCGGATTACCTAGAGGTTGGCCAGAAAATCCCACTCGATCTACAAAAACTAATAATATGCTTGTGTATTTCAGTCACTTAAACCTAAATTTCCTCAGTACGATAGCCTCAATGTTCAAATCAAAGGGTACGACTATCCCCAACTGGAGAGCTACCAAAGCTTTCTGCACGGAGTGGCTGAATATTTGGACCTCGATGTCTCCGACTGCTATGCCCTGCCACCACAGCAAACCCAAGTCCAGCGTCTGCGTCCCAACTCCACAGTCATCGAGTCCGAGTACAAGCTGACCACCTACGAACGCAGCCTGCAACTGTGCAATGTCGATGCGCCCGTCTATCCACAGTTCCTGCGTCTGGCGCAAGCAGCGCTGCCCGAAGGCGTAAGCCTGACGGTTCAGGAGCACACAGATGACTGCGAGGAGCGTCGCTATGTGCCCGACAAGGATCTGCTCGATCTCAAGGCAGAGCTGGAGCGCATGGGCGGTGCCAGCACCAAGAAGAAGTAGCGCGACAATTTGGCAAACATTTAATGCTAAGATTTAATGCGTACAGAGAAGAACTTATGCATAAAAAAACTTTCCTAATTTTAAAGCTTTGCACTAAGTTGGACGGCAATAGTTACAAACGATTGGAAGACGGAAACTCTACGATAGTATGATGTATAAACTTAGGGAATTGCACTATGAATTATTCGTTTAGACCACGCCAAAATGCACCACCTTAATGGACGATGATGAAGAGGAGGCAGCGCTGGCATTTTTACTCTGGCTGCTCTGCTTCTGCTGTTCATCCTCGCGGCGACGCGTTGGCGGTTTGGTCACGTCTGAAATGAATTCACTTGATTATGGGATCTCCTTTATCTAGAATTGTACTTACTTGTATTGATTGGATTGAAATCCTTTAGGTAATCATCATGTGGATGACAGAGTGGCAGGCTGTCGGCCAGCTCCTTTTTCGGATTAGTCAGATGCCGTGCTGCAGGTCTGGAGTAACCATTACGCTTCGGCGGCATTGGCTTCTCCTTGCGTGGAATCTCCTTGAGAAGTGAGACAAGTTAGAGTTGTTATTTGCTGCTTAATTAGTTCGTAAAAATCTTACCGGCACCACTGCCACTTGTATTGTATCCGAGAACTTGACCTTGTTCTTCTCCGCCGTTTGAGACTTGGCACTGGGCGTGACCGCTTCGCCATTGACAGGCGCAGCAGCCGGATTGGACAGTATCGAAGCTGTTGGCTTCTTGAGCAGCAAACGCTTCTGATATTCCTCACTGGACACGGTGGGCAGCATGGCGGGTATGTTGCCAGACACAAGTGGATGCTGATAGAACTTCGGCTGGTAGGCGGCCGCCGCTGGTGGTGGGGCATTGAACAGACCCAATTGTGAGCTCTGTTCAGAGATGGCTGGAGGGGGCTGAAGCTGAGGGTGAGCCTGCGGACGAGGCGGCGGACTGCTGGGCATGGGTAGGCCAACCGTTTGATCTGGTACATCCTGGGACCAAACATTGCCATTCGAATGGACGCTTTTCATTGGTGTCTGGTGCTGCTGGCTGCCGCTTTTCAGTGAGAGAAGTGCCAGAGAGTTGCTTGGGGCAATGCTCAACTTGGGCAGCGGTGGCCGCAGCTCTGGCTTGGGTATGTTGATCTTAATCATTTCGGCATTGAAAATCTTCGACTTGAACGAGGGCAGAGGTGGCACATAATTCTTAAGCGCCTGCGGCTGACCCTGGCCAGTGCGCAACAGCTCCGAGCAGGTGGACTGCGAACAGGCCGATTCCGAGCGCAGATCACAGGTCAAGCTCAGATTGCCATTGGCGCGATCTTCCTCATGAATTATGGCAGCGGCCTGACTGAACGACACCTGAGCAAATTCACCCAGACTGGTAATGCACTTGGTTAGATTATACAGATCCATAAACAGATCGTAGTCCGCCACATCCTGAGCGATTTCAAAGGCCTCGGCAAACAGATTTTTGCTGTAAAAAGAGAGCCCGAATTAGTGCCAAGAGAAATAAGAAATTTTCAGGCCAACTTACCGCAGCAGAAAGAAGCAAAAACGTCGCTTCAGATCGTACACCTGATCACTGAACTCATCCTTCGTTTCCTCGGAGAGCGTGTGCGCGAAGGTCTTCAAAGCTCTGGCCATAAGCTCTATGCGCGGCCGACGTTGGTCACCGCCAAAGAAGACATAGTTGGCGATTTTGTGTAGCGTTATGAGGCACATGGCTCCGTAGGTTTCCCAGTTAAGTGCCGCCAGCACATTGACAGCTCGATCCGGCTGCTGCAGTCGCAAGTATTTGTCCGCTATGACATCCGCCGTCAGTCCGGAGTTGTGTATATCCCCGCGCATGCCAGCGCCGCCGAAGATGCGCATGCAAGCCAGCGGACCCTGTTCGTAGATCAGCAGCAGCAGGCAGTCTGTCTGGGCGTAGGTGTGCGTGAAGCTGCTTAGATCTGGCTTCCGACTGAAGGCAATATTCAGCAGCGTGGGCTGTGCGACAAAGTAGTGCGAGAGGTCGAGCAGGCTCAGTGGCGTCACGTTCTCGCTGACCAACTGATGGCCAATGGTGGCCAGTGCCAGGTCGAAGCACTGCAGCACCGAACGCTCATTGGCCACGCACAGCATGGCCGAGTCACAGTGCCAGGCACACTGATGGGGCACAATCTCAATTTGATTCACATACTTGGTGGTCTGCAGTACCAGATCGTGCAGGCAAATGTTCTGATCAATGCTGCCCAAGAAGAGCTTCTCCTGATCCGGACTGAAGGCGAATGAACAGATTTGAGCACCCATTGGTATGGAGGTAATTGCGGTGCGCTGCATCTTGCCAGTGGCCAGCTCGTAGGAACATATTTCGGCGCTGATTTCACCCTTGCGCGAAACTTTCTGCTCCAAGGTGATGATTTGGCTCTCGCTGCTGCGCAGAAAATCCACGCAGAGTGGATCATTTTCCGACCAGCAATAGGCCATCGATTCCAGCTGCAAGCTACACGAGGGAATGGATTAATCCTTAGAGCGTGGAGGGAACTACTTGGCTTACCCCTTAATTTTGAACACATGTATGTTGGCACGATCCTGATCCCGCACCGTGGGTCGCCAGGGATACACTTCGTTCTGCGAGGATTGTGTCCACACCACAAACAAATCGTAGCTCCCGTTCACGGTTAGATGGCGTGACAGCTTACGCTCCGTGGCACCTGGTATGATTACATGAAATATGCGCGGATCCATGTTGGCAATCTTCTCCGGCCCCTGCGAACGTGCATTGGGACGCTGCAGATGCACCACCGTCAGCTGGTTCGTATTGTAGGCCAAGACGATGTGGGAACGTGTAAAAAATGCTAAAGCCAGCGACAAAGACAACAAAAACGAGAGACAAACACAAACGACAAAGCTTGAATAAGCGGCTCGAACAAAATCATGGAAAAGATTGGAGTTGTGTGATGTGTGTGTGTGTGTGTGTGTGGCTGATGTGTGTGTGTGTGGAGGGTGTGCGCATATTTATGGGCAACAAAACAAGCAAGCAGATTAATTAAAAATTACAATAATTGCATGAACATGCCATGCGTGTGCCTGAGGCTGCGACTTTTACTCGCTCTGTGTGTTGGTGTGGGAAAGTGCAAACCTAGCAAGCACTTGTTGCAAATGCAAATTTCTCCATAACTGCAACAACAGCAGCAACGGGCACAAGTGCACAGCCACAGCCACAGCCACACACTGCCATATAGAAGCGGGAATACTCTATCCCCGACCTTGACTCACCATCGGTAATGATCTCGGCAGCCAGTTTTCCCACTAAATACTTCTCAAACACCATGCGCAGTATGTCGCCCGTGTAGATGTCCACACAAATGTGCGCAATGATGCCATTGGCAAAGAGCAGCAGCACCTGTGCCGCATCCTGCCACTCGGAATGGATCACTTTGTGCTGGCGCAGCAGATCCTCCAGCTTCTTGAGATTATCCTTGAGGCGGCCGGCCGACTTGCGACTGCTGTTCTTCAGCACGGCCAGACCATTGCGCCGCTCGGTGTAGTCTCGCTTGGCCAGCGCCGTCAAGTCCGGATCCTGCTCCTTCTGGCGCATGTAGCGAAAGGCGCCCAAGTCGTTGCTCTTGATGCGCACCTCATCTCGCAGCGTCGTCCAGAAGTGGGTCTCACTGAGCAGCATACTTAGGCGGTATTAAGCCTAAACGCATCGATTTGCATGGCCGCGAAATGGGTGTCAACTTTGTTGTATTTGTTTCTGTGTGCAACTGCGACGACTGTCTTTGCTGCGTTTGCACTAGTTTTCATGCATCTGCCCCACAGCGGGAGATTTTCACCTGCTACACGTGGCCGCGTTCAATGTAAAACGTTACAAATGCACAATAAATGTATGATCGTCGCAGTTTAATGGCGTTTTTTAGGCAAGTTTTCCAATTTTTTTTTATCTCGAAACGTAAACACTGAAAATTGTTGGAATTTAGAGGTGGCACTTGCTGACGATCACTTGTTGCTGCTGCGCCAATCGTTATCGGTGAGCGTTAATCGAGTGGTGCTTGTATGGCTTCAAGTGTGACCATCGCGTTCTGACTGACATGATTGGCGGCAATACAAATTTGAATCAAGCTGAACATTCGAGTATTCATCACCTTTGTGGCACACTATCTTTCGCAAATCCCATTATCGCAATGAAGTTTTTATTGCCCAACAGAAAGACGTCTGCGATGCCCAGGTTGAACTATGCTCTAGGGTCTGCAGACTTTTCGCTGATAAGATAATGCCAATATAGAGGCTACAACGACCGACAAGTGCCGCATTAAACGCGTTCCTGGGTTTTTATTTTTAAACAAAATTGTTGTATTTATTGATTTCACCATTAAATCAGATTGTAATCAATTATTCACAGTAGTTTTCTTCGTTCTTTGCTCGTTATCAATGAAAATACGCTTAGGGGGCACTATAACTCATAGTGGCACACACTAACTACCTAATTAATTGACTAAATAAACAGCAACGTATCGATAATAATAATAATAATAGTTATAATCATAATTCGTATGCCATAGAGTAATAGTAACTAAAATGTATATCGCATTTGAGGAAACTTAACAGAAAACTTTTATGGTTATAATCGTATATTCAGCGCAGTGCAGATATATGTATATATATATAAATATATGTTTATGGCGGCTTTGCTTATCCAACACTTTGTGCTTACAAACTAAACAAACTAAATGGTGACGGGAGGTGTGGGCCTCATCTATTTACAATAAACTCTGAGCGCAACCCTCTCGCTATTTACATTTTACATATATCAAAATATCAACCACATTCTATACAGACATATACATAGATATAGATATATTGTATCTTTAACTAAATAGCAGCCTTTTCAAATTTTGATAACGTTTTTCTTTGCCGAATCCAGTCGAACTTTTGGCCTTCCATACTGCAGTTTTTGCTTGACTCTATTTGCAGAATATGGAATATGGAAATCGTATGTGGTGCGTGCGTGCGTGTTTTTGTTTTGTTTTGTTTTGTTTGCCAACGTTCAACGTCTCTCAAGTCTCTCGAGTTCGTATTCATTTTCATTTTATGTTTTGGTTTTTGCCTTAGAAGCTAATTTAACTAAACAAATTTGCGCTCGTTGGTTTCGATCGTCTAGAAAAAGGATTACAATTACAATTAAGTTGCAGCAGTCGCGTCTACATATGCACAGATTGGGTTTCTCTTTATCTCCATCTTCCTTTTCACTGTTAACTAACCATCCATCCGTCCATCTATCTATCCCTCCAGGGAGTGAGTGCTGGGATGGTATGGGTTGGGTGTTGCTTTCTCATTTAAAAATCATAAAACTCGTTCGATTTGTTGTTCAAGCGACGCGTCAGCACATAGACAACCGCCTCATAGGTGGCCATCATGATGGCCGTGTTCGGTATCTGTCTGACCAGCTGCGTGGCCAAGCCTCTGTGGGTACAAAATATGGAACAATTAGTGGCCTGAAATACTTAACAAATAATATCTATAAAGTGTGCTGACTCGCTCGCTGGCGAGTGATAATCAAATTAAGGTAAACAAACACAAAACAAGATGCGACGCAAAAGAAAGAATTTTTAAATAGATTTCACGCAGCGGCGGGAGTGAGAGATTTGAGGAAGCCACAAAATTCGTGGGTGGCGCATTATGATAATTTTTTTAATAGCATTGAGATGCCAACAAAGCATTCGCTTTATCTCATATAAATGTTTGCATGACGGAGGGGAATTTAGTTCTATAAAAATGAAACGGGGATGGGATTCCCTTTGACAATCTTTCAAACCATTCCCTGTCGATCTCTAAACTCTGATTAGAGTAAAGAAATGCACCCGATTGCTACACACCTATACAGTCCGGGTCTGCCCTCCTCCTTCCACACCGTTTGCAGCGTCTGCCAGAAGGAGTTATACTTGTTGCCCTCCTCGCGCAGGCGCGTGCGTGCCACCTCATGGGGATACGCAATACAGGAGGCAATTGTCTTGGAAACGGCGCCAGCCATCATGAATTCCAAAAAGTCTCGCGAGCCCTTGGTGTCTGTTTGCCGCTGATTGCGTTGCTCCAACTAAAGCATAACATTAAGGATTAGTTAAGGTACTTTATAAGCTGATTCTCTCATACCAATTTGGATTTGATGAACTCGTAGATGACAAAGTGCACCATGGTCTCGCAGATGCCAAAGTAGCTGGCCGTGATGCCCTTGTAGAAGGCCGCAATACCGCCCTGGGCATACACACGCTCGATGCACTGCCTGACAGTCATTTGTACCTTGGAGTTGTGGTCCAATTGCATGCGGGTCTTCACAAACCAAATGGGATTAGTGGCCGTGGATGAGACAAAGCCAGCACTGGCCGCACTCATGATGTGCACCAGCGGGGAGTCACGTTCAACGAAACTGTAGCACAAAAAATCAAGCATAAATATATGGAAAATATATGTATAATTGGGGGTTTACTTACCCCAAACTGTTGAGCGTGTTCTTGGTCTGTGAGTAGGTGCAAAAGTAAATGGCACGAGAGGGTGCAACGCCCACGAGATTCGGGCCAAGACCTTTAAACAGGGCACGTGCACCCTCATTCTGGACAATGTGACTGCAAAAGTTTATAAATAAATGAGTTAAACATTAATTAATGATGTTGGAGTGGACCTACCGCAGGCACTGTATGATGCTCATGGATTTAGGTGTTGTCGATGAGATGCCGCAATGTGAAATGGCCATAATCTGTAAGGAATACAAGAAAAATAAATTACAAAATTCAAGCATTGATGCCAGTAGGAATCGAGGATGAGATGAAAGATGTGTAGGCTGTGGGTTAGGACTGTATGGATGGTGGAACATGTGTGTGTGTGTGTGTGTTTGTTTGTTGTATGATAAATAGATAAAAAAGAAGTTGGTACTACCCTACGCACACCCCCAATCACCTGTGGCTGTGATCTGTTACGTAATATCGTTGTGCTTAGCTTACGTCGTTGTTCCGGCCTCAATAGCTCCGAGGCGCTGCCATTTGCCGGTCCACTCCCCGTTGGCTCCACAAGCCTCGACGCTGGCGTCGAGAATGCCGTGGAGCTCTGCAGACGTGTCTTGACCACTTCCAGGGGACATGTTACCACAGCGCCAACGGTGCCAGCGGATCTGTTGTAAAACAAACGAAACATAAAAAAGGAACATGAGTACTTGGTTCGGAAAATATTTCTCCATCTAAAAATAAAGCTTTCCCTCCACCCAACAAAGAGCTAAAGTACGCTGACATGGTCTGTGTGTGCGTGTGTCCCCTCCGTAGTCCCTTGTTCCATAAGATTAGTGCCAAAAATGTTTTGAAAATCATAAAAATAAATCGCATTTGGCAATCGAGCACGCAGAAATATGTGAGTTTCATCTGAAAAAAACTCGTATTTCCTCGATTTGCGCAATTCGTTGGCTTAAATTGGTTTTTCTTGGGTGTAGAATACGTAATATATGTTGAATATCTGTTGTCAACCCCTTCCACTTGTGTGTAGAATTCCATTTCCATTACAAATTCAAGTGCTGTGTTCACTATTTGATTGGTTCGTTGCATTTCATTTACAGGCGGATGAGCGGGATTGGTGTGGTGTTGGTTGGCCATTAAGTACTCAAAGTAAATTATAGAAAATTTTCTATTTCGCTTCACATTTCACATGCAAAAATCAAGGTCATGCCATGTAATTGTTTACTGGATTGTGAAATTCTTGGTAATCCGAACGAATTGAATCAGAATGAAGAATGAAAATGCGCTGCAGCCGTCAGTTCTCACAGAAGGAAAAGGAAATCCAACACGAAAATAAGCACACACAGTTGTTGAGGTATAAAAAATATAATTGAGTTTCAGTTTGACAAACTTTTAACTATTCTAATTATATTAGAGCTCGCTTGAATAATTTCTTGAAATTCTTTTTAAGTCTGGAAAAAAAAATTTATTATTTCATTCAAATGAATGTATGTCAAGCACACGTCATGTATGTTGTTTTAGTGTGGGACTCCAGCATTCAAAGTTCACTTCAAGTTAACCTTCCCAAGGCAAAGCAACCCCTACAAAATTAATTATACACGACCTTTCCCAAAAAGAAGCGAAATAAACCAAAAACCAACACACTGATTGCCTCTATCAATATCAACAAATTGGAAAACTTTGCGATAAAAGTGTAAGAATCACTTTATTATCTGCGGAATGTACACGTACATGTATTTATTTATTCGCCGGAACATAACTCGTGATCGGACTGAAACTTGTAAATTGGCTGCGGTGGGTGGCAACAAACGAGAGAATCATGAAATTTGATTATAATTATAATAATCCATGACAATGACGGCACACGAGACGGCAAAGGTTATGCAACAAAGAAAAACAGAAAAAAAGGGGGGGAACAACAAGTTTGATCGATGAAGTAGGAAAAACTTTCTTGCAACAGACACGAATGTCTCCTTTAAGCCCTGGAAAATACAGAAATTAATCAACGTTGGCATCTTCAAGGTTGGATTGTGGGATGGAGTATTGTGATTGCAGTCGAGAACCGGTTCGTACTGGTTCCAGATTGACCCCACGCCTCTGGAGCAGATAACCTTTGCCAGCCCCGCGAATGAATTGCCATTCGTTCGGACAAAGCGGGTCTTATCCCGCCCATCAGCTGCTATCAGCTATGGCCCCTAGGCCCCACGTCTGTCCCCATGCAATATTTATATGGATGCTCAGTCCCAGGCGGAATCTGGTATGCCTCTGTGACATAATTACCGCAAAACCGGTAAGAACCGAGGAACACGAACACGCCATATGCTCCAGCAATCTTTCTCTTTTTTCTACTTTTGGCAAATGTTTGACACATTGCTGGGTGGCAGGCAAACAATTACGCAAAAATACTCACATTTAATCAATGAATTAATGGGTAAGTGTACCGCGACTATTGAGTTACAATTAGCATCTGGCTGCCACTTGGCGAGAAAATATGCAAAGCAAACTGTTTGTCCTGCAACGTGCCAGACTCAAATATAGACAAGCAAGTAATATCAAGGAGAGAGTGAGCGCGGAGAGTCACGGATCAACAGGTTAACGCACTTGGGAAATTAAAATGTTTCAAAATGGTGGTTTTTTGTTATCACAGTTCTTAATCTACAGGGGATGCTAAATAAATTCAATTTGGGCATCTCTCTTATCATAAGAATTTATTCAACGTAAATTATACTCTGGAAAAAAGATTCTTCGTTTTGTTCAGTTGAAACAAATGAGCCATGGAGGAAACCCCAAAAAACTGCGATCTAATCCTGCATTAAAAGAGTAAAATATATAATATTAAATATTTAAAAACAATATCCTATGTGAACATGTGAAATTCTGTTAATTTTTGGCACAAGTATGCAATCTTTTCGTGTATATCCGTCGAGCAATCTGTAGCTACATCGGAATTCCCGACCAATGGCCCCCTGGCTGCTGCTGGACGTAGAACATGTGTGAAATGTGCAAAATGCAGCCGGTTAATGTTAATGCGCTATTTATCTGTTTTTTGACACTGGTCGGTGGGTCTGGTTCGCACATAAACACGCGCTTTCTCGCCAGATAAGAGTGGAAATTTTGGTGTCTAGCCAGACATGGTCTATGGACAAGACGTACAAGTGTTTAACAAGGGGAACCGAACCTGATAATTCCCTTTAACTATGCGTCAGGGTCCTCTCTGTTGGGGAGACTTTTGTCCCGCTGCTCCCATAATCACACCTGCCCGCTCCCTCCCTCTAACCAACGTTTGGCACCGATAAAGATGTCTTGGCGGGGGCTAAATCTTATCAAAGAATATTTCTTGGATTTTTTTTTTTTGCGTTGCGCAGACTGAAGTTTCTTCTTATCAGGGTGATTCTCTATTTTGTTTTTTTGCTATTTTTATTTCTACCGTTTCTTCCTTCTCTTTTTTGGCGCTTTTTGCTTTAGATTACGAAATTTATGGAAAATTTTGAATGTTTTTGTTTCTCTTTTTTATGGGTCAAAATAATCAAGGTTATAGGGAAGTTTATACGTTAGAGCTGTAGGACAATCCCAAGAAACTTTCACTGGAATAATGTCAAAGTCCTTTACTGGCATCTTTTAGCACCAATTTATTGACTATTTAGAATCTAAAAATAAAAGTTAAGGAACTTTCTAAGATTAGCTTTTATTGTATTCAAATTGTCTAAATCATTGGAGACATTTTAAATAAACTTGGCACGCGTCCTTCTATAGAAATTTATGTGTAAATAAAAATATTTCCCTGAATATATACAAACGTACAACGGTACAATAGAAATGTTTGTATTTATATTAAGAAAATATGTGTCTAGATCAAGGGTAGAAAAAAAGTGTGCGCCCTTGACACAATTGTTGGCTATAGGAAATGTTTGCAAACATTTGATCAGCATACTGAATCAATTATTAAAACTAAAGCAATGCCAAAGATTCAAATATAACAAAGACAAGCAGATAAGGAATTGAAGAAGATATATAAATTATGAGATAAATGAGTGGAAAATATGAAACCAAAACAAAATTTGAGTAACTTTCCATGCAGCTATTTTTTTGTATTGGTTTTTATTCATTCTCACTTCCAACTGGAAATACCTTTCGCTGCCGAAGAGACCCCAAAAAAATGCATTTATTCGCATTCAAATTTCACCATCAGCTGTGATTTGTTTACGTTTTGTTTTTTTCCTGTTGACCCTGTTTCTACTCTTTGGCTCTAGACGACCTGTCCCTCAGCACGTACGCATTTTTTTCGGGGATGAGAGCGGGTCTCTCAGGAATGGAAAGCTAACTGAGTGGCCCAATCTTATCTGTATGATATAGTACCCGATTTTGCTAATTTCTCTGTGTTAAAATCATCTAAAAATAGTCAGACTGCCGCGAAAATATGCACTGCGATCATTTAGAACTTTTAGCCAGAGAAAAAGTGACATTGTTTGTTCTGTATTATTCCCAGATAATTTGTTAAGAGACTCTACTACCCCTCAACAGCACCTGATTGGCAGCAATGTTGTTTGTTGCATTCAATTCTAATCGCCTTCAACCGTCGCCGACGTGTCAGTGTGCCAGAAAAAGTTTATTTGCCCGGGGCGACCGTCGAGAAAAACCAAAACAAAAATCAAAATCGCTTGCCAAGCTCAATTTAGAATGGGGGATTTTCTTTATATAAAATCACATAAAAATACAAAAACAACAACATCTTTTGGGGGAAAAATAACAATTGTACATTAGTATAAGCGATAATTGGGGGTAAAGAGAAAAGTGCACTGTGCTTTTGCCAACATTTTAAAAGCATAGAACGCATCGTATGTCTTATAGACTTTCAGAGCAATTTTACAATTGTCTTTAATTGCCGATTGTCGGATAATTGTTTCTATATGCCACAAATGTTTGTTTACAGGAACTTTTCTCTAAGAAATACAGGGAAAATACAACAATTGAGAGTTAGAAATTTGAGAAACTAAAACGTTTCCGTAACTACCACTAAAATTAATCAAAAATAATAGTTTGTTGCCATTTTGTCTTGAATATCGTTACGTTTCCGTCTTGGCAGCGTATTTGAATAGGTTTTTCAATAGGTTAACACAAAAATACCTTCTAATCTATGAACAGATTTTCAACAATTACAAAATCCTGTGGCAAAGTTTATATAACAAGTATATATACAAACATTTATAAAATCTATAGTTTTCCTTGTGGCCCAGTTGGAAAGTGATTTGTAGTTTTAATTTTCATACAATTTCCCTTAAAATTTATTTTTATTTATTTTCAAAATATCATGAGTTGGTGTAGAAACAGCGATGGGATGCTGAACTAGACGGATGGATGCATGTCGGTTAATTGCATGTTTGTTTTTGGTTTTATTTATAGCGATATAACAATGTAGGGGCCGGAGCAAGGTTGTTTTTGCCTTAGTTTTCCCAACGTGTACAAACACGAGACGCACACAGAGACACCCTCCCTCCCTACATTATTGTAGTAGTTGTAGTGCTAGTGGTGGTGGAGACAGCGACAACAACAACAGGGTATTATTAAGAAAGCTCTTGCCTGCTGCAACGTGAATGAATTTCAACAACCGTTTTTTTTCTGCGCTTTAAGTGTTCTACACACATGTGGAAACATGTACATGCAGACATACACATGTGTGTACGCTCGTTTAGTACATAAGAAAAAAGTCTTACGACAGTAGCGAGTGAACATTGGAACGATTTTCTTGACTTGTTGTTTTACTGCTGATAAATAAGCTTAGGCCAGCCCGCACAGGCCGGCCGGCAAAATTACTCAGCTCTGGGTGCCGCAGTCTGTCACTGTGAATGTTTTGTAGGTTATTAGGTGGTGACACTCTGTTATTAGTTAACCCATCAGCCAGCTTTCATTTATTTTCTAAGCTGTCTTCTGGTAAATGCTAACAACAATTGAACACCGCTAACTGTGTTTCATTAAATGCAGGGCTAACCACAACTTTGTACATACATTTGCCCAAAACCAACATTTCCTTCCTGTTGCTGCTACATGTACATACATACGTATGTACATACATACATTCACACAAATGACCAGAGGCTCGACTTGTACTTCTGTTTTTGTCATTCCTCTTTATGTACTTCTTTCTCTTTCCAACAAATACGGAACCAGAACCGTGCGATCTCCTACACACAAAGCACAATGGAAGCAACACGAACGGGTTCAAGAGACTGATATTCCTTGCAGTGTGGGGCTCGTGTTCTGTGTGCGTGTGTGTGTAGGGTGCAGGTAAAAATAAAAACAAAGTCAGATGCGGCTGTGCCCGCGTCTAAAAATAGAAACGATAAAAGCGACAATCATAATAACAGAAACAACAAGAACCACAATGCAATTGCAGCTTGTTAAATGGCCGTAGCCAGAGGTTCGGAATTCGGATTGGACATTGCCTGTAAGTAAGAGAAAGTAAGACAGAGACAGAGAACGAGAACAAGGGATAGGAAGGAGAGCTCCTACACAACATGAGCTGATAAATAACCTATGCACACACATACACATTATTTATGGAGCACAAAAGTGTATATTCGACTCGTGGAACAGGCACATGGAAGTTGTTTTCATCCATAGATCACATTTATTTTTGATTAGCAGTTATTGCCTCTTTAGACCGCTAATTTGTCCAAATTATAATTAGAGACTGTCATGACCGGATAATTATTTCAGTCATAACGACAAAAAATGAATAATGTTATTTCTGCTTATTATGGTGGGTATTCTTCTGTCGGTACGCTCCGCTTTAAGGCACTTTTTATAGTACTTTGCTCATTTATTTTCCTTCTTGCGATGACGTTTATCTCGAATCAAAAATTGTTGTTGATTTTCGCCAATCGCTGTGGACTGCAGAGCAGAGAGCAGAGCAGCTGTCCCCCAAAAACACGTGAACGGAGCATGGCTCTCTCCTCTCTTAAATTGTTTTGCTGTTGTCGCTTCGCTGCTTTCTGTACCCGTTACCCTTTCAAAGAGTGATCCAATTTTGATCAGATGTTTGCAATGTCTTCACCCATATAAAGTACATAATATTCCTAATCAGCAATAAAAATCTATTTGAAAATATCAATGTCTAACAGAAACGGCAAGCGTATCAATAGCTTCGGCGTGTCGCATTTAGTTTTTTTCTGAACATTTTTTGTCAGCCTTTCTTTTTTGGCGCCATTGCCAATTTTTTTCCCCGCCCCAGGCGACGGAGGCCAGGTCGCATTTACTTGAACGAATTTCGGACTGGGCTGCTTCTGATTTACAGTTTGCGGCTAACTAAATCTAATCGCAATTGCGCCGTTTTAGTAATTAACGAATTTCTATGAACAAAATTAAATCCAAGTAAAACCGGTTTGTCTATTGTGGCCTGACCTGCGATAAGACGCAATAAGCACCAACAAACATACGAAAAATTAGATTCCACTTACCCGCCGGCAATCAAATGGATGAAAGTCTCTACCGTGTTTTGGGCCATGCTCTCGCTCTCTCACACTCTCTCGTCGCTTAATTCGATTGATGATTGATTAAATATCCACTAATTAACGCGCACTTGAGATTTACAAAAACAGAGAGCACAAAAAAATATTTTTTTAAGGCACGAACGATGCGACGTCGCGCGTTGGTGGACGGGGGCCCAAAGGCTGGCGTGGGCCGGTTGGGGGCCCGGACAAGGGCTTATCCCACTGTTTTTGTATTTGTATTAGAATTAACTTTTCTTAATTATTTCACCAGATCCACGAGAACTTTCAATGGCTGAAATTATGCTGCAATTGCGCTGCTCTTTTTTTTGGCACTGACAAGTTATGCAACTGCAACTGTATTCACTGATAACGATTATCTTTCTTTATGATAATTAAGCGCACGGCGCCAAGTCCATCGAGCACTTGTTCAATTGTTTCAATTTTATTTCTTAATGTTTAAATAAAAATCAGGGAGAATTTGTTATTCCGTCCAGTGTGACCGCGGAATTATCGATAAGATTTACCGTCGTATGCCGAAATATACTTTTTACTTTTCAAAATATACCGTAAAATAAACCAGAAATCTCAAAACATTTTCCTCGATTTTGGTGTTCCACTTGATATTACTGGCTAGTTAGGAGTCTCCCCGCTAAAATTATACTTTGATCAGATATATCAACCAATTTTTCATAAGCTTGGCTAGTTTTCACGACTTCTTTTTGTTGGAATGCTTACAAACTTAGCTTAAAAATAAAAATCTCATCAAAAAAAAGTCCTAAAGTCCTAAATTTTATTTCTCGATTTTGATGTTCTATTTGATATTACTAGCTGGCAAAGACTTTTAGCACTGAGACAGTAATTTTACCCGTTTAAAGAATCAGTTTGGCTTATTTGAAATACTCCTTTTCGTGGTTGGTTACCTCATGAGCTTATGACATTACTACTACACATTTTCTACATACCAATAACTTTAGTAGAATATAGAAATATTTAACAGAATATTTGAAGAGGAACTCCGTAGCGCATTTTCTGCCATTATGGTTATTTGGCCACATTTTATTTCATCCAATTTTATTTGAGTGCGCTGCTCGCACGCTTGTGTGTATTTTTTTCAAAAAAACAATCACACTTTAAGAAAAAACATAACAGAAACACATTTGAATTGTAGCGCAAATTTCTATGTTAACTTAAAAGGGGTCGCGTGCTGGTATTTTCTTACTGCACACATGCAAAATAAGGGACAACCCAGTCGGACCTTCTAGAAGTGGTTGCGAAATAGAATCGATCTTGTATCCTTCCCGGTAGACTATGTAGAACCGATTCCCCAAAAGAATCGTTTCTTTCATGCATATTTTTCCACCAAGAAAGAGTAAGCGTAACCCGAACAGTTTAATAGTTTTAATAGGTTCCCAAGGAACGCATCTAGATGCATGCCAAAGATGTGTTCTGTAATGTTGTAATATCAGCCATTTGCATATCTTAGATATGCAATATAATATATCGGATACATTGGTGACAGTTATCGACAAGCACTAAAATATCGGTATCCTGGTGCACAAAAAAGCTCATTGCTACATAAATGGTGACACCAGGAGCGCATTTTAAATACCACAAACTATAACTCAATAAACGAGGAAGGCGCGTTCAATACCTTGCAACGCTTCAAGATGGAACGAACGTCCTGGACGAATCGAAGGGCATCGAGAAAGGGCAATTTTTTGAGCAACTCAGTGTCCCAGTCCCCGATGACGTAGTCGGTAATGGGTATGGCATTATTCACATTGAAAGAGCACTCTGAAATCGAATTATCCAGAAGGATCACATTGGCCATATCAGGGCAAACCAGCGACACAAACTTGGCATTGAACCCATAGACATTGACGCAGCTGTCACGAAACAGTCGCCGAGTCAGAATGTTGCGCCCACCATCCAAATAGTCCAGAATAGGCGTGGCGTATGCTTCGGTTCCAGCGGTGAATATGATTATATTGTACCATTCCGAGACCCTGTCCAAGAAGTAGTCCAGAAAGGGCCGCTTGTACACCTTGACCCTGGTGTCATCCTGCAATAAAAACTCGAAATCGCATGGCACATATTTCGATCTGCATTTTTTGGTTGAAGGTGGAGTGCCATCTTCCTTTATCATCACAGACGTCAAGAGGGTTTCATCCATGTCAAGGAAGAGAGTTTTCTTCTTAACAAGCGTAAGTCGGCGCTTGGAAACCGGCGTCAAGTTATCGGTATCCATGTATTTATATATAAAGTACTTGCAAAACAGCTTGCGAATGATGCCATACCAAAAGCGATCCCAAACGCCCAGTAAAGTGCCGCTGATCCATAGTATCCCGAAACTATCAAGTTGGGTTTGTATGGCCAGTCTACATTGATTGCATATTTGGTTACTTACAGGGAGACGCTGAAGGTAATTATCAATGTGATAATGATATGTGCATCTGATTTATTTTCCATTTTTGTTATTGTTTGTATTCTGTTAAGACTCACAAGATCTGTTAACTAGATTGAGTGATTTTCAGCAGCCTATTTGATTTCAAAAATGGCGCACAAGTTCCGTCAAAAAAATACTACAAGTCAGTGCTGCATACTTTTGTAAGTTCTTACCAAAGCAGCAACCTTTTGTCAGCAACTCAGCTTTTGATAGACTAAAAGTTGGCGACAAAATTTAATTTTATCTTCAAGATAGAAATAAAACACAATCTTTAATGTTTATTTGCATTGAACGCTCAACAGCTTAAAGACTTTATTTATTGATCGATATCGATTTATTGCATTTTTGTTTCTCAACAATTATCTGCTGCTGTATGTATTGCTATATTTTCTAGTATATAGTTTTCTTGCATTGTTTTGGCTTTTGTTCATGTCTGCAGGGTTTGCTTTTGCTTTTGCTTACCAACTAATTAATAATTAAAATTGAATTTCGAAAATCGTGGATAATTTGGTGTTGTTTTATTTATGTATATTGTGGTTGTTGTATGGATTTTAAGAAACTATTCAATTTGTTGAGACAACATTTGCTATTGCACTTGCAGATATTCATGTGTGTGTGAGTGGAGTTTTTATTGGCAACTTCTTTGGATTAAATGCACTCTTCATATTGCTGGGAACCTATTTATTTTGTATGTCAGTGTTGGTTAGTGTCTGTTGGTGTTGGATATACCCGTTTTGTCGCACGTGGATTAATTGTGTAAATATATTCCTCTACTGTATAAATACATTTTATTATTATTGTTAGTATTGCATTGGTTTTTGCATCATTAGTTAATATATTTATTTATCTATTTAATAGCCTTGCATAAACGTTACTCTGATTTGTTTGGTGACACGCAAAAATAGTGTTGTAAATTACAAAAATATATTGTACGTATGTATGTATGTATTCGTGTTGTCTGTTCTCGAAACTGAAAGCTCTGTAGAACCCTGAAGAAACGCAACAAATGGATTTATGATGTAACATTTATTAGCTTGTAATTTGTTGTAATTGTTGTATTTTTTCTCATATTTTTTCATTTTTTGTTTGCACTTATTACAATACAAAAGGTACGAAAGGCGCGAGAAATTCCATTGGGAGTCGCGGAGAGTCCCATGGAATTTACACTAAAAATTGACTTAATTGTGAAAAGTAAACAGAAATTAGGGTTTCGATTTCTCAAAAAAATAAAAGCTTAAACTAAAACAATGGTTTCCATCCATTTTTGTAATGTTTTTGGGGGATTTTGTCGGGTCAGGGGAATATTCCTTCTTACATTCTACATTGTTTGGAAAAAAGTTAAAGTGAATTTCGTCTCAGTGTCTCAATATACGTGTAGTGTGTGTATAGGAAAACTTGACTGAAAAGCGGTAACTATTTAGTTCGAGTATCGGTAACTGTATCTTTTATATGCATTTCTCTTAATATTTGCTGGGGGGGAAGGGCTTAGGGTTTAGGATGCAGCCACTCCCGTTACTCGGCGCGACAGAGCAGCGAGGCAAAGCGGAAGAGCCGCATCCAGCTAAAGAGCTTCGACTCGATGAGATTCTCCTCCGCCGTCGAGGTCGTCATTGAGACCCGCGACGAGTTGGAGGATTTGCTACTCCGTTTCTGCTGCATGATCCTGGGGGAGCTCATCTTCATTATCGAGTAAGTCGTCTTGACGGCTTCTAGTTGCACACGCCACAAATGTGGGCGTGGGCTACGGTTGGCACAAGAGTGGAACAAACGAAACGCAAATGCTGTAAAGAGAGAGAGAGAGAGAGAAAAAGAGGGGATTAGTCGAGTGCTATTCAAAGTGGCAACTCAATGGCTCAGTCGCAGTCTGTTGAGCCTTTCCAAGCATCCTTAAACTTCGAGTGTCTGCCGTGACATTTGAGCGGCAGTCAGCAAATCCCAGAAATCCAATCCGAAAAGTTAACAGAATAGAGGACCAAGTAGAAGTGGACGCAATGGAATGGACATTTTGCCGTAGAAAATTCTCTTTCATTTTGATAGTCGAATTAGTTTTAGAAAAGTTTTAGGCGAAGAAAATTAAACTCTTAAGGTATTCCAATTTAATATTATTAAGTATTATATAAGCCATGTGCAAATGGAACTGGTTCCTCAACGCACTTAACTGCTCACCTCTAGTCGAAATGCTCCATTGCCTCAATGAGGGCGTCACCTTCCAGCACACACACAGACACCCGCATTTATTCACATCCCATAAACGAACCCATGCACACCCATCGAAAGCTGATGACCTTGCTCGATGCTCAAAACAGAACTGAAACCCCCCAAATTGAAACGGTTGCATGCTCCAGATCCAACCAAAGCTCTGCCAGTCTACATCGAGTCAATGACAAAAAGTTACATACATACATACATACATTTGTACATATATATGTACATTGGTGGACACAATCATATGTAAAAATGTAAGAGTGAGACAAACGAACAGACCAGGCCATGCAGAATGTTCATACATACTCGCACAACATCCAAAATTTAAGCTAAATTCTCCTATAATTGTAACCATTAATATTCATTAATTCATTTATTCATTAATATTATACGTTATATTTTCCTTCTGAGTGTGCCACACATCCATTTCCAACACAAATCTAACAAAGCCCTAACTCTGATAAAAAGAGAAGCACCAGACCACACCTCCAGATCTTTTTTCTTTTTCCTGTTTTGTAACAAAATAAAATAATTTTCCACTTTGTATATTTGCTACGCATTTCCATGTATTTTATAAATATTTTTCTGCTCGAAAAACGACTGCGCGGGTTTCCCTAGCTCATTATACCGTTGCGATCAGAGAGAGAGAGATAACGAGAGCTGAAGTTGTTCCATGGCATAATGGGTGATGTAGCAGGGCTTGAGCAGAAAATTCTTTTAACCGAAATGTTATAGATGGGCGAATTTTTGGAGATAAATTAATACTGAAATAGAAATATGTCTCGTAAATTATTCTCAAAACTCATTCCCTTCAACTGTTTTTAGATATGCGATCATTTAAACGATTCCCAATTCCGAGAGCATTTAAAGATCGTTTTACATATTTTCGTCTTTATTTCCATTTCGCTGGAAATTTACACATTCCTCGCAGCACTGCACTGCCCACTGGTCTGCCCATTCCACCTTCTGCTTTAGCGCTGCAGATTCTCTGCCCTGCCTCTGCCTCTGCTTTAATCTTTGCTCCTCCTCTGCACTGGTTTCCATTTCTTCTCCTCCTGCTTTTGACATCAACATTTTCGGGAATGAGAAATATTTGTTGTTCTTGTTGCGCTTTAATCTTTTGATGGGACAAATGCAGCTGCTGCGCTGTCAGCTAGATATACACAGAGTCGCCAGTGAATGATAGAGGGGCTAGGAGAGAGAGTGAGTGGGCGACTCAAAACCTAACGGGGCAGGCAGGCAACGCAACACGATGCTCGCCCACGTTTACCCCCTTCCATTATTCCCTCTCAGTGACAATATATTTTCGTGTTATGTTTTGTTCGTTGCGTTGTGTCATGTGCCAACAAAAACTAATGATTGAACTTCTCACCCCTCCCTCCGCTATGGCACAAGCACTGGAGCTGTCTATTTGTTTCTGTCTCTCTTGCAATTCTTTTTATTGCCTCTCTCTCTCCCAGTGCCAAAGTATGATAATAAGGTGAGGCAATTATGGGCAATGTAACGCTCTCAAAATAGATTGAGAGAGAGAGTGGAAAAGCTTCACCATATATTGAGACACCTTGGCCTGGCTCTCCCTCTCTGCCACCTGGAGACCTGCGGGGCGTTTGCGTGATGTTTTTATTGCCGTTAAATTAGCCGAATACCGTATTAAAAGAAAGACAGCAAGAGAAATGGGTGCGAACATGCAATACTTTAGATTGTCTCTGCCCCTGGGGTCATGGTTGTATTTCAATATCCTGGGCGCCACATCTGCCCCTCAGAATTTACGAGTGTCGAGTGTTGGGAATCGAATATCGCCCCGCCGTCTGTGGTGTCGTAATTTGTGGCCCATCATCGTGTGTTCTGACGTTTCTTTTCTTTATCACCTAGGCAGACATCTCAATTTATTTTAGGGCTTGTAATAGGTGTCCAACTGCTAATAATAAGTTTAATATCTGACAAACACACGGTCTGATTTCAGCAAATAAGAAGCTTTCTCAATTATATATATTAGTCTCTATATGCAGTGTCCCAGTTCCCCTAACCTTCACTATTTCTTTCCGTTTTCACACTTGCACTCTGCTGAGTTCTATTACAAATATTTTACATTTTCCTCCTAATTGGCTTCAATTTTATGTTTTTGTTGATGGCAAGTTTTTTTCCGTCGTTTGTCGCTTGTCACCGTCGGCTCCTCACCCGGAGCCGATGGCTCACATTGACCCACTTGGCAGTGCCACCTCTCATGCTGTGTGCCTCAATAGCCTGAACAACAGCAACTAATATGTATGTATACGAACGCGCAACAACACCAACGACAGTAACAAAAGTGCAGTTTGAGCCTGTGCCAAATTCAATTATCAATTTGTGCCTTACCATGCATTTTTCATTTCATTTCCACTGGCTTTCCCCCTTCCCTCTATAACGCTGCTTGACATTCCAAACGCGAAACATTCGTCCCAAAACTGACAGTAGAAAAGCGCACGTTAGCAGCGAATGGAATGGAAGGGAATGATTGGGGAATGATTGAGGAGGGAGTGGCAGCAGCACTGCACCAGTGAAGTTGACATTTTGAGGGACATGACAGCAGCAGCAAGCCGCCTTGCCTACATAGTGAAATGCCGTTGATAACATTGGTTAACCTACTTTTTGTTAGAGCGAGTAGCAGTACAGTGGAATAGAAATATAAATGAAAAGTTTGGGATAATTTAACATATTACGAGTGTATAGATCTACGTGATAGATCCTTAGCTACTTCTTGAATTCAATTCAATGTTTGAGCTCTATATTTTGATGATCTTTTTTAATGATTTTCTCAGTAATCCCCTTAAATATCCCTTCAAAATATTGCTTATGAAATGTAATCGTCCAATTTGTCAAACTGCTAATACTTGTATCTAAATTGTATCTAGTTCTTATAAACTAATCTACATAATAATAATAAAAGCTTGCACTGACATTTAATGCCAACTGCTTCCACTGTTCACAGATCATCGTAGTGGCTATCATTGCCGCTTGCCTAGATGTCACTTTAGTCGCTGTCTCTGACTCTTTTCTCCCGCTGTCGCTGTCTCTAGTGCGGTTCCAATTGCATTTCAAATGAGCGTTCCCAGTGGTACCCGGAGAAGCGTTATCAAGCGCGTGCCAGTTGAGCGCGCTCTCCTCTGACAGACATAACCGCAGACCCTCACCACAAAAGCAACAACCATCATCACTCCCCGCCCCCGCTCCACCATCAACCATGATGTATTTTCAGTCCCCCGCTGTACTTTAACCCGCTATCTCTCTCCCACTTTGACATCCGTCTTAATGAGGCTTCAATATCACTTGTCAAATTGGCACACACACACTCAACTGTACCATTTGTAACTGTTTGTTACTGCTTGTAAACTGCTCGCTGCGTGAGAGAGGGAGAGCAGAGCAACAACTGCTTGCCGCTGTGGAGAGTAACGGATTGATAGATCTTTTCTGAATAGATAACGATATCTAATTGGGTCAGACTGTACTTTAATACGCACATTACGTGCGTACGCTTAATTGTCCATCGTTTGATTGATTCAATGAGCCTATAAACTGGAAGGCCTTGAACCACTGGCCGGGCTTCAGCTCCCTCTCCTCAACATGCAACGGTTACATGGCAAAATCTTTTCACAGATCTCGTCGTAAGCTTCTTTTTCCATTTGGGGTGCGGCATGATCTCACCAAAGCCAAAAGCAAACAACAAACAACAAATATGACATCAGAGTGCTGGTGGTGGACCCGTCCCGTTCAACTTGAGGCGACAATTAGAAGGCAATACATATTTAAGAGCTACGAGTATCTCATAAATATTTACTACTCTCAAACGATAATTTGAGTTTAAGTGGAGGAAGAGCTAAGGAGTAGGAGAAGCAAAGTTCAAAGATATTTATATTCTCCGTTTTCCAAAGCCACTAAAGATGGGAAAAACCTGAATAAATATTTATAAGAATGCTAATTTCCAATTGCAGTAACTGTCGTAACAGTAAGGAAGGAAATACCAAGAGAGAAAGAGAGAGAGAGAGAGAGATGTTGGAGATGGGGCAAGTGTATATCCCACAGATGCATTGTTTTGGCCCAGAACCGCAGTCAAGCAGCGCGAGACGAGACTTCACTGGAAGGGCCTTTTGCGAGAGAGCGAAAAAACCGCAGAGAAGGCGGCAAGTGCCCTAGAGAGGGGGAAGCAGCCCAGCGACAATGTAACAGTCTAGTTAACTTGCAACTTACAAGCGAATGTATCTACAAGATACTTTACATGGCCCCCTACCATTCGCATCCCATGGTTGTCTCCATATTTGTCTCTCTGTCTATCCCCATTCCCTCTCTGTCTCTGTGTTGACTGACTTTCGAAACGTGTTGTCATGTAAATTAACCAAAAAAATAGCCATGTTGCGGGTTAGCTATGGAATGCTAGTAACCCAAAGTACATGCAGCCCATGTATCTATCTATGTCTTTGAGATACACAGAACAAATACCGCTGCTGCTGACGGCAGCCAGCCTGAGAAAGACAAATATAATTGACAATGGGGAGCAGCTGGAGTGAGCTGCTAACAGCAGAGACAACTCCGTTTAAATGGGAAAATTGTTAGAGAACAGAGACAAAGAGAGAATAGCCAGAGACGTAGCCATCATTCAGCTGTTCGTGGAAAAGTTTAGCCAAGAAAAAAGTCAGCGACAATTTGCATTCATCGCTGAAACTCATAGATCTTCGGCGAAAACTTACTGTGGGTCTCAAGTCGAGAATCAATGTTCTCTGGTATTCTCTTTAGCAGCCTTCGCTTGTGCGTGTCGAGTATCAATGTGCCGCGACCGCTGGGTTAGAGATTTAAACACTTTTGGGGGGCTCATACCATAATCCCCCACACAGCAATAATCTCTAAGCGAACTCCCCTACTCAATATGAAACCACTGACCCAAAAGCGGCAAAAACTCTCAATGCCAGACAGCGCCTCTCCACAACCAAATCATGCCCCAAAGCAATTACAGACAAAGTGCAAATCAAGACAGAGCGAGAGGAAGAGGCACTGCACTGTTTTGTTCCCCCAATGTCCAATATCCACTATCCATTTCCTGTTCTTTAGCATGAATATTACGCATACGCCACGTAGCCAATACAAATGCAAATATTATATCATGATTGCGCATGAAAATGCCAAGTAAACAATAATAAACACTACACAGAGCCAGAGCCAAAGAAAGAAAGACCCGAAGAAAGAGATGTTGGAGTGGGATGAAAAACCAATAAACAATAAGCCAAATGCGGCCAACAAAATAAACCTGAGGCAAATCGACAAAAAGAAGATCCGCAGTTCAAAGTTGGCCAAAAGAAATTGCTCGGTCAGCGGCGTCATCGCTGGTCGCTCATTAGCTAAAACCGAAAAGGGCCAGTCAGGCCATTGTGACCACCAGACTCGTTAGCGATGGAGGGACAGAGGGGAGTCCAAGCATGGTTTTATAGTCGATTAAACCTCTTACATAATGATGGGAAAATCTTGTTTTGTTTTCAAGCCTGATAAGAAATGCGGCTCACACTGAAGCCCATCTCTGAACCGCAACGAAATAAAGTCGGAAAAAACTGAAGAGGAACAGAAAGATATGGCGAGGGAGATAACGATAGTGTCAGAGTGAGAGAGACAATTGCTAATGGGGTAAGACCATTGAACAATTTTCTGGGCATCATTTGATGGCCCATAAAATGGTCTGAACAAAATTAATGAATTACTAATGAAGTAAACGAATGTGGAAACAATAACAAAAATTCAAATGAAGAAAAGCAGCAATGAAATAACAAATCGAATGAAATTTAAAACAAATAAAAAGCAAATGAAATTCAAATGTTTGGAAAATAACACATTAAATTTCAATTGAAGCTCAAATCACGGGCACAGTGGTTGCACATGGAAGAAAAGAGGCAAATATTTTCAATCAGTTGTGGATGAATAAACCTCTGAGCTTGCCCATCTAAAAGCTCTTTCAAAAAACTTTGAATCACTTTTTTGACTAACTCTGCTTTCCCTTTGGAACCCACCTTTGGAATCTGGAATTTTTCAATGATTTTCCTTACTTGACGTGGGTTCTGAATCTCAAGTGTGTTTTTCCAACGTGGCAACTGCATAATTCAGAACATTTACGAGTACTTGAAGAGCCTTCGAAAGATAAACAGAGATGACTCTGTAAATTCAGAGACCACACAGTGAGACTTCGCTCAGGGAGGGGTTTGCTGACCAACATTTTGCATATTGTGGATCAACCTTTGCGGTGACCTTTCGCTGCATGCTCAAGCATCATGTGGCATCGATTTTCGATTAAATCTAATTGACATGACAGGGCAAACATCCACACTCCCTACTTTCCGGCTCAGCCTGTCAGTCTGTCAGCTTGTGAATTTCCTCTCGTTTGTCCCGTTGACCATTTTCAATTTCCATTTGACACGCTTTTGGAATGTTCACTGAATTTTTCTAGCCTACCTCTGCCTTTACCGGGAACCTACGCTCCGCTCCTCTCCGGCAACGCCTTTGTTTTCCTTTGGCTTAAATGCGTAAATTGTTGTAAATAATTTATGCCGCTCATCGTTCGAGTCGAGTCGGTTGAAGCTTCTTCCTTTTCTTTTCTTTCTTTTGTTTTTTTTTTTGGCCAAATTGTTTTTGGGGCTTATTGAAAGTCCGTTGAAGCCCCAAAACGGATGTCTTCTCATTAATTTCCACAGCTAATCTCAATCAGTCAAAGGCTCCACCTCCTAGCCCCATTTATTCCATCAATCCCAGCCATAACTCAACAACGTTGAACTTTTATCGAGATTTGAGTGACAAGGCTCATTTTGGTAGATGTTCTGCTCCGTTGGGTTCTGTATGGTCCTCGTTATTATTTTGTGTTAAATTACGTTTTTGGTTAATTGAATTTAGTTGGAAATAAGGAAAAGGTTTTATTATCTTAGAATTGGCTAAGCTTGTTAGGAGGATGGAATCTGTTGACCTGTTTGGTAAATTTATTTGCATTTTAAAAATAATCGTTTGTACTTTAAATCAATTATTTGTAGCTTGGCTTCGACTTTAGAGAATACAATTTGCAGAATGATTCTTGGGCTCCCAAGTTTGAAAGTGAATTTATCAAATCCCAAAAACTTTGTCTTCTATTTCATGTTTCATCATTCATCATAAAATCAAAATATAAATACGAAAATACGAAAACTTTTCCATTCCGAAACACACACATGTTCCCTCTCTCCCTCCCTGTCTTTTCTTATCTGCCTTTTCCTCTATCCAGTTCCGCTTGGACCATTATCGGTGATGGCATGGGAGGGGGCATGGAACTTGTTCAATTTGTTGTTGTCATTGATGATATTTGTGGTCTACTTTTTGTTGCTCCCCTTCTACATTTACTCCCACTTCTACTTTGGCTGTTACTCCGCCTCCTCCTCCTCCCTTTCCATGTTCATAAAAATGCACTTAGGGAGCAGCACATGGGATGAGAAGGCGGACAGATGGGGGGGGAGGTGTATTTAGGTAGTGCTTGCATTTCTTATCAGCTTATACCCCCTCTCCCATTCACTCACTCCCTACCAAACGAAACTGAAGTTTCAACGATTTAATCTGGGCTCTTATTTGGTTTTCTTTTTATTTTCATATTCTGGGTTTCTTCTTTTTTTCGTATTTGAAGCGCAAATATTGATTTTCTCCCCGGGTCCAACGAGTTTTGGAGTGTGATAAATGTAATAATACAAACGACAAACTTTGATAAGCTTCAGAGGGCAGAGCAGGGACAGGGAAGTGTGTGTGTTCGTGTCCCATATGTTGGTAATAGTTTCGGTGGAGGGATGCCAAGTGCACTTTACGATATGATAAGAAACGAATGCCACAGCAGAGAGTTGACCTAAATCGGATTCGATGGGCAGTGGAGGTCCTCTCAAAACGCTTGTCTTCGAGACCATATAAAACATATATTTCATATTTTAGCAACCACTTCATAGGCAAAAGCAATATATATATATATATCTGCCCAACAGCTGTGCGTAAAACTTTTATCTCAGTAAAACTCCATACATTTAATGGGCAAACGGTTCGATTTGTGGCCTCAATTCGGGCTCGTTATCATTAAGTCGTTCACAGAAAGTCACATGATGAATATTAATTATTTCTTTTTATGCCATGCACAGAGAAAACAAATTAATTACATTATAGCAATTCCTCAGAATTTATGCTGTAATGTAATTCATGTGGATGCTGGGCGTGGCAGCATGTGAACCAAATGCGGCTCATAACAAAAGACCATTCCACAGAATGCTCATTGGCCCAAATACACTCCGCGCGCGACTCACACGAGAGAGTCGAGTCGGATAAACAAAGGGCAAAAATGATTAATAAAGCGGTGCCAGATTGAAGGAAGCGCAAAGGGAAGGGCAAAGTAGTACCTCTCATCTGGTGCACGGAATACAGATGAAGTGACATAATTGAAATGGAGCACAGGCACTGCCACTACCACCGTTTGGTGCATGGTACAGGGAAAGCCCTGGAAAACTTTTCATGTGAACTTTTTTTTGTGGGAGTACGAAAAGTAATCAACGGCCATAAAGAAGAAAATCAACAAAGAATTTCTTTAAAAATTCCTTTTTTTATTCCGTTCTGTTCGCGTAAGTGCGCAGAAATGATTTCCTGCAAAGTTCTTGCAAGAAATATAATGTTTAATCAAGAGGATAAATACTTGAAGGTAAAGTTTTAATGTTGAAAGAATTCCATAGATTCAAAAGTATTTCTGCACTTAAAACATTCATGGATTATGTATTTACCAAGACATTATATCATACCAAAACCAATGTATTCATCGCATAGAACCCCAGAGCACCCTCCATCTGTCTCTATAAAAATACGAAAATATTTCTGCATTATGACGTACGATTACATATTCTATTTATTTTCCCTCCAGCACATAATAATAAATAATAATAATAACCCATTTTCGTTCTTCCTTGGAATAATATTGTCGTAACCTACTTTGCTCTTTCCTACGAAAATCAATTTCCCAGCTTTTCCACTACATTTCCATCAAAAGAAGAAAAAACAAAAATCAAGAAATACCCTTTCATGTTGTGTGCGGTTCCTCCTTCAAATCCCGATGTCCTTCTGCGATAAGAGGTGGAGAGAGAGAGAGCGAGACCCTGAACGGAATAATCAGGGCTTAGGCAGAAAATGCGGAAGTCGAAAATGGCCCTCATTCAAATCGGAATTTATAAGGGAAATACGACAAAAAATAAAGTTTGGGTCAATGAGAGGGGATGGCGATGGCCCATAAAACCAAATGAAAAACGAGTCGTGATTTACGCTCGAGTGGAAACCCCACAAAATATACAACTTTTTTTTGCGTGATTACGTAAAATGCGTAAAAGACATAGAAAGAGAGAGAACCACTTGACGAATTTCAAGGACGCGTGCAGCCCCCGCAAGGACACACGCAACACGCCAAAAAATGAACACAGTCGAACATGAAGTTATACAGCCAGTGTTACTAGATAACAGATAACTAGATAACAGCAAAACTTACCGTAAAATGCAAGTTGGCAGCTCCCTTTTTGTTTAGGCAGCCTCCTATTTGTAGCCTGTATTTGTTTTTATTATCGAAAGCGTAGGCCCTGACTTTAGTTACGCTTTAGATTTCCAAATGTAGTTTGTTTAGAATCAAGCACTGCTCAATACACAATTATATTTCGAAGGTGGTAGAACTCAAGCAAATTTTTCGTTCCAATCAAAAGTCTAGTTGTTGTTTCGAAAGCTATATTTGTACCGTTTCAAATATATTTTCGAGCTTGAGAGTGTAACTTTTGGATCGCAAAAACCGTCGGGTCGGGAAAACGAGGCAACTAAACGCGGCGAGCTCTGTTGAGTGAATGAAAACGCGTCGCACAACAGAAACAGGCAGCCCCCCGACTTGCAGAGCGAGCCCCAACAGTGGGCGGTCGAGCAACAAGCAGCGCGAGAGAGAGAGAGAGCAGTCCAGCAGGTAAGTGTGTTGTTGCTTATCGCTGCATAAGCTCTCTGCAATTCATTCATGCAGCGACGTCAGCAACGTCACTGAGTGCAGCGCTGCTCAGAGCAGAAACAGTTATAAATTGCCTGAAATGAAGCATTTTTAGCAATTTTTCATTCAGACAGTCGCCCCCCTGAGACAGCTCTCACTGCAGCAGCTCGCTCTCTGCCATCTGACATGCTTCTCTCCCAATTTCTTATTCTCTCTCTTTCGTTCTGTGTGCTAGCATAAAATGCAAAGCCAACTGGTTGTTGTTTCTGCTGTGGGGGGCTTATGTAACTTTTGGGGCATCCAAGAACAGCACTGTCTCAGGCAACGTTGAAGGGCAGTCAGCGACCTCGTTCTAGAAAAGAACATCCCCGCAGTCCCCTCGCCCACAAGAAGAAGCAGCAGCGAAAAGCGCGTAATAAAAACATGCTGTGAGAGAGGGCGAGAGCGAACGAAAGAGCAAAAAGAAATGTACGGTCTTTTGGCATGCATGCCTCGGAAGCCCGAAATGGTTTTATTGGGAAAGGGGGAACAGGGCTGGTAGAGGATTAGTGCTTATGGGGGAGTGGGGTGTGGTTTGTGTGTGTGGTAGGTTAACGCAACATCAAAGTCATTCCAAATTGCGCAACAGCCACAGAGTTGGTTCTTGGTAACCCGCTGACCAGGAATGGGTTGGGGAGAAGTTATGACTGTTTGATGAAACTGGAAGTTATTACTAAGTTTTCCTTGTCCGTCCCCCCACCCCTTGGATATCCCTTGCAATATCCGCATCCGCATTCCGGTTGTTTTTCCATTTGCAGTCTAGCAAAATGACCCCAATCCTGAACAACCTCTTGTGTACCTTTTTATGGACTTCCGCAGCAATAGATCTAGCAAAACAATACACCCGTAACCTCTCTTTCGACCACACTCCATCGTACTGCCCCATCCCGCTTGCACTGCTGCCAGTTCAAGCGTAATTTAATTTTGTGCACCATTTATTTATACGGGTCAGGAAGGTGAAGGGAAGGAAAGAGGAGCCAGTCCAGCCAGGAGCTAGGTTGTGTCTGTGGATAATTTATGGTTTCGTTGCAAATTAGGTTAGGTCATGGGTAGGAAGGTAGGGACGGGCGTGGAGTAAAACACCTGTGCGAAGGAAGGGAATGTCGCCTGGATAGCGTTAGCAGCAGCAGAAGCACTTACCGTTATTTTCTACTCCCTACATCACATCACCCTACATTCTCATATACTCTGAATACTGAGTACTTCCTAAACGAAGCGGAATTTGATTCATGTGGCGTTTCATCCTTTTTCCAAAGCAGCATCATTTGGCCAGGGCCCAATTTCCAGCTTCCCCTCTTTTCTTTTGTTTTAATAATCTTGTGGAGTAGAGTTTAATTACGACCAGATGTTTTGAAACCAAAGCATCACCGGAGTCCATCTGAATGACATTTTATTTAATTCTAAATATTTACCATATTATGTATAAACAAATATAATCTGAAAGGGTATTTAAAGTTGCGGAGTGCCTCTCTTTCGTTGCATGGCATGTGTTCTGGCCACCGCATACAATGTAAAGAAATGGAGAGTAGGAGGATGAAGAACATGCGTAAAATGAGTTAATTGAAAGGAAATGTTCAAAGCACATGTGCATCTGCCACGATGGGGCCTGGTGAGTTGGGGTGGGGAATGGATGCTGCACTGCTAATTGAATTACCTTTCGTTTACTTTTCCCGTTAGAAATGCCGCCTAGCTCTCGAGCTGTGTGCATGTGTGTGTGCGGTTCTCTGCTTTGCTTTTCATTTAATACCAATTTCTATTCATTTTTGTTGTCTTCTTTCTCTGCTCCTCCTGACCCAATTTCGTTTCGCTTTGTGCATTTGCAGCTGTCTCCGTCTGGCCCTTGTGCAGCTGAGAGAGCGTAGTAGGCGAGCGCAGTCGACTGCCAGAGACGCTGCCAAAGTGTTTTAAATTAAGGTTACACGTTAGCGCTCTTTAATCCACATGGACTCTGTATCTGACTGTTCTCACCTAGGCCACGGTGATTATTTTGAGAGCGAATTCGGGAAACAGCTCAACTTTGTCTGCTGCTTTGCCTTTTCTATCTCTGTATCTTTCACAGTCGTCATAAACTGGCATTTTCAATCAAATAAACAACATTTTGGAACAGGAATTATTTTAACTAGATTTTGGTTTAGATAAAGCGTTTTTTTCCTGGTGGGTTGGACTTTCAAATGGTTGTGTCACGACAATAAACTGCAGTTGGACACGTACATATTTGGGATGTGCCCACGCATGCCATGCCCCCAGCTCCAGTCACGCATCCGAACAGACCCTTTCACTTATGTATTAACGGAAGTGTCCTTGAGTGGGGGGCATGTGCGCTGAAGGCTATAGGCTTAGAGGACACCCCCACCCCAACCAAAGCACTATAAAACGCTTTCACTTTCTCTTTTTTGCAGTGATCCAAGATGGGTGGCGGTGATGCAGACAACGGCAAGAAGATTTTTGTGCAGAAATGCGCCCAGTGCCACACCGTCGAATCGGGAGGCAAGCACAAGGTTGGCCCCAATCTAAACGGCATTGTGGGACGCAAATCCGGCAGTGCTGTGGGCTACAAGTACACGGAAGCCAATCAAAAGAAGGGTGTCACTTGGACCGATTCCGCGCTGGACGAATATCTCAAGGACCCAAAGAAATATATACCTGGCACCAAGATGGTTTTTGCAGGACTCAAAAAGGCCGAAGACCGGGCCGATTTGATTGCCTACCTCAAAAAAAATAAGTAAAACATTTCGAAACAACAGCTACACAGACACTAACACTATCAGAAGAAGTTAAACGTAGCTTTACATGACAATAACTGTAATACACAATTACAAATATCATACAACATCAGCATACGCTGATACTCTCACTATATTTTTATATCATTTAATTTCAATAATGGATTGAATGAAAATATCTGCTCAAATATCCCAAGCCTTACCGAATAGTTAACACACATTTTACACACTGATTAACTGATTCAATCTACACTATAATGATACATTTAATGATGTACACAGAGGGTATGGTTTCCCTACGGGCCTACCTCTTGACGCAAACAAAATGCGCCATGAAAATAACTGCAGAAAATCCTAAGTCTTACCGAATAGTTAACACACATTTTACGCGCTGATTAACTGATTCTTACTACCCTACACCACACTGATTGAACGATTTACACAGAGAAAAGGGTCCACCATCCCCAAATCTTTTCCAACGTTTTACACTACATAAACATAAAATGATTGTTAAAGGTTTAATTAAATGGCAAAAAAAAAATAAACAAAACACGTTACACAAGTTTTTTATTTCAAATGCGCGCCTTGTGTCTCTATTGAAGCAATGAGCTTTTTTGTGCGTCAGTATCGAAACCAGCATATGTTTTGAGTTCGTTGACATTAAAAATATTAAATAAATTAATTAAATTAAGGCTAATTCAAAACGAAAGGTTCCAGATATAAATAAAAAATATATATTTGTTTCTTGGGCATGTGGAAAATGAAATGATTATTTTTGATGTATTTTTATGCGTATAATTTAAACATATCATCAGGGTATGTTTAGCAATTGGGTACATTTTCCGTTGCAAGCTAACCGTTTCTGGCCCGATTTGCCTGTTGTCCATACCCTATTTTTTCAGCAGTATCACAGCGCGTAATTTTAATGTAAAAAGTGTGTAGCTACCGTTCAGGTAATATGTAAAGAAAACAAAATTTTTTTGTACGCTCTTTGTTGAAAAAATACAATAAAGAGACCTTTTGAAATTAGCCAATCGAGTTGAAAATCTACTCATAAATCGGATAAAAGTGTAAGTTATAATAATAAATAGAATATCAAAGTTCCGGAATATAATTTTTATCGGTATATTATCCGAATGAAATTGTATATTGCGGTATATTTCTGAGGGTTATGCGGTATATTCCAAATCATAAGTCCGCGCGCAGGCGACTGAACATTCGTAAAATAACTGTTCGCAGAAACGTTTGTGTTCAATGTAAGTAGTGGGTGTTGTTAATTTAAAAATTTATGTGACGTAAATATTAGAAAGAGCAATACATTGACAAGGTCTCCAGGCAGATAATAGAGAGCGTTGTAACTTCCGCGTGGTTCTTGCGTAATTTGCAGCTGAACAAACAATTTAATTCGATTCGCCAGGCGAATAATGCTAGTTTTTTGGGGGTTGATTCGACGGGGTTACATAAACTCGTCCTTGTGTGTGTACATAAGAGTGGGATTTTTTTACAAGTGTGAGAGGTTAAGTAAAAATGTGTTAGAATTTTCCAAGTGCGAAAGTTAGCCATGAAATATGAAATTTAAAAATAACCTGGAAGGGTCATTTTGCCATTGAAAAAGAGAGCGACGCGTGCGAGATGATTACATGAGCAGTATAGCGAGAGAGAAAATTGGCTGCGATCATCAGCTTGCCCTCACTCTCTTTCGCTTTGGCAAAAAAGACATCAGTTCTTGGAATTTTTGCTTATGCTCCCCAACTCCAGTAAGCGTGGAGCCACGTGGTGGCTAAACGAGTTCTCTGATTTCCGCATAAAGCTTATATATGTTTGTTGCAAAAGAAGATTTCACCTTTGCAGGAGTTGCCTTATGTAACATTCTGTGTGGAGAGGAAACTGCTACGCTGTCCTAGTTTTCACTCATCTCTGTTGCTCTCTTTCTCTCTCGGCTGCCTTTGGCCTCCTTCCAATTGCACTTTCTATAGTGGAAATGTGGGTTTTCTCACATGCAGCTCTAAATGAAAAGTTCTCTCTTCAAGGCCACCACCAAATCAGATGTTGACATTGTTGTTGCCTTTCATGTAATTTGTCTCTCCCCCGCTCATTGCGCTTTTGTGTGTGAGTGCAAGCGACTTAGTCATTAATAAACCCAAGGTGCAAGAATATAGGGTGTGGAATTTCCAAAGTGCGCTCTCCGGATTTCCAGTTTGGTGTCCAGGCAGTTAAAAGTTTACAATATAAACGATCACCCTATGGGTTTTTTTTCCAAAAGAGAGAAAGAGCACGAATGCCTCACTTTGTATAAAAGTCTCTGTGCAACGGCACTTTGTACTCACGCTCTCCCTCTCTGGCCACACATTTTATTTGTGGCGCTCAAGTTCAAATAGTTGCATGCAACGCAATTAGCCGACTTCGGAATGTTGACCATAACATAGACCCTGCTGATGCATTGCTTTTTAGTGCGACAGTTATATAAACAATAAAAGTTTTCCATTCCTCGAAGTTTGCCTGTTGCTAAGCAAAAAATGAATTCTGACGCAGTGAGTAATTCTCACACCGCCGAAAGTCAGACGGGGGCGAACGCATGTGAGAGAGAACAAGCGATAGAGGGCAACAACATGTGACCAGAGTCTGTCTGAAACTTTTACGAGATGCCTATGTGTGAACAAGTGTGTGTGAGTTCTTGATGACGTTGAATGAAGCTCGTGTAGACTTTTGAGTTGCGGAAGGGTGTGCGTAGATAAGCAAAAATACCAGTTAGATAATGGAATTGTATTCCAATAAGAGTTAACCTTCTTAGAGAGTCTACACACACACCTAATGCATTTTGAACAGGTTCTAGTTTCCGCTCACCGCTTATCAGCTGTTTACATAACGGGGCAATGGGACAAAAAGTTTTTTCACGGCTCCCACTAATCATTGATTTTCTCTTCTGTGTTACAGTCGAGTCCGTGTTAACACATAAAGCACACACACATAATCCATAATGGGCGTTCCAGCTGGTGATGTTGAGAAGGGCAAGAAGCTGTTTGTGCAGCGTTGCGCACAGTGCCACACAGTGGAAGCTGGTGGCAAGCACAAGGTTGGTCCCAATCTGCATGGTCTGATCGGTCGCAAGACCGGACAGGCTGCCGGTTTCGCGTACACGGACGCCAACAAGGCCAAGGGCATCACCTGGAATGAGGATACCCTCTTCGAGTACCTGGAAAACCCCAAGAAGTACATCCCCGGCACCAAGATGATCTTCGCCGGTCTGAAGAAGCCCAATGAGCGCGGTGATCTGATTGCCTACCTGAAGTCTGCCACCAAGTAAAGCGCCTCCTCTACAAAAGGAAGCCTCTACTCTCAATCACCTCACCACCCCAACAACAGGATGTATTATTGTGTTCAGTCACAATCCAACAGCAACATCAACAATATGAACAGCTAAACAGAAGCAACAATTACATACAGACCTAAAAACTACAATTATGTTAATTATAAAGTTTAAATAGGACAATTTATTATTTAATTTAAATAAAAAGTGGAATACTTAATTTAAAGCAGAGGAAACTTGTGACAGCCACGTAAAACAACAAATAATTAAATAATAACAAGAAGAAAATCAAAAAATACCCTGGCATTTTCTTTGGCTATGAGGAAAGGCAGAAAATAATTCGTTTTGTGGTGATTTTCAAGTGTGTGGAATTTGGGCAAAGAGAGGAAAAAGCTTTCGAAATTCCGCAGTAGATAATTCGATTTTTAAGGGAACTCCCCGCTCTTAATCATAAGCATTAGTTATATAAACCGTAAAGAGAAATTCTAGATTGCAAACGATCTCTTTATCATAAGAGCACACTTCTATAATCATATAAATACAGTTCCACCTTCGAGAGCAGGAATACAACTTTCTCAGATAACATTTCATTCAAGCTTAATTAATACAGAGAAACCCCACCTTCATCAAGTGTTTGAAAACTATGATAGTAGTATTTGGATTCCCTCTAACAAACCATAAAGAGTGGAACAATATATCGTGGCCTAGATAACAGCTGATACTAAACCTTGATCTATGAAAGAGATCCCTCTCAAAGAGCAACCAAATCACACTTCTATGAAATAGATAACAAAAGAGAGCACACAAGTTGGTATAAAAACGGAATTTCACTCTTAAAGCTAAGAGAGTTGATTACGTTTTTTTATACAATAGGAAAACAACATATGACAGAATGTTCATGGTTCTCCAGCTCTTAATTATATGAAAATAATAAACTTTCGATTTTCAATATATTTCGCTAGTTTATGTATATTTTTTGTTGTTTGTTTTACACTCGCAAAAATGTGTATCATACACTTTAATAACAATTTGGTTAATGCATTTAACATTTCCATTTATGCTTATTTGATTTAATTTTTAATGAAAGAAATACTTGATAGGTTCTTTTTACAATATATTATTGATTTCTTAAGTTTTTTTTTGTTTTTTGTCTTTGTTTTATTTTGTTTTTTGTTTTGTGGGTGCGCTGAGGCGATTATAATACAATAGAAGTGCATATCATCTGGTTTAGAATAAAAAACTCTGTACAGCGGCGCACACATAATAAAGTAAGAACACAAATAATAATAACAACAAAATGGGTAAACAATTAAATGGAACAATCGTAGAGGATCTGTATTTTTCTTTGCCACTTTTTGAATTGTCTTTTTGGAATGCCAACAAAAAAAATCAAATTGTTCTCTTCATACGTTCTATGGGGCTGGGCTGGGGCTTGGGCGGGGGATGGACTAACAAGAACTTAGTTTAAACAGGGAACAAACATGCGCTTAAATGTAGCACGAACAAACATTATGTTTAAATGTGGAGAGAGTAGAAGTGGAGGATGCCCAAGGGGTTCGGATTGTTGTTAGGTAGCCGCCTTCAGTCCTTCCACAACTCTTATTGTTGGTTAAGTTTTGCAGGCTGGCGGCCTGGCTAAAAAATATATATGCAGATTTTTTTGTGTCCTTGTGCATGTGGATGTTGGATTTTGGGTGGAGCTGAACCGCCTTAGGCCTTGCCAGCAATGGGTGC